ATCCCTACACCAAACCCAGCATCTAGTATACCACCTAGCTAACAACCATCTCACCATCTCAGCAACCCTACACCAATCCCAGCATCCCTACACCAAACCCAGCATCTAGTATACCACCTAGCTAACAACCATCTCACCATCCCAGCATCCCTACACCAATCCCAGCATCTAGTATACCACCTAGCTAACAACCATCTCACCATCTCAGCAACCCTACACCAATCCCAGCATCCCTACACCAAACCCAGCATCTAGTATACCACCTAGCTAACAACCATCTCACCATCTCAGCAACCCTACACCAATCCCAGCATCTAGTACACCACCTAGCTAACAACCATCTCACCATCTCAGCATCCCTACACCAAACCCAGCATCTAGTACACCACCTAGCTAACAACCATCTCACCATCCCAGCATCCCTACACCAATCCCAGCATCTAGTATACCACCTAGCTAACAACCATCTCACCATCCCAGCAACCTACTACACCAACTCTCCAGCATCCCTACACTCAAACCCAGCATCTAGTATACCACCTAGCTAACAACCATCTCACCATCCCGCATCCCTACACCAAACCCAGCATCTAGTACACCACCTAGCTAACAACCATCTCACCATCTCACCATCTCAGCATCCTCCCTTTCATCACATCACCTAGTCTGTCTCACAGTCCCTGAACCACATTATTTTTCCTACAGCCTAGCCTTCCCTGTAGTGCTAAAGCCCTAAACGAAGCAAGTCTAGATTTCCCCAGGTTCAGGAATCTCTGGTCTCCCTAGGGCTCCTTTTCAATTTAAATGGGCTTGTTTGTTACTATCAAAATTATATATATTCAGAGACTAAGCCTTTTAGTCTACACATCACCATACAACACCACCACCATATTACATGCCAACTCCCAACTAAACCATCTCTCTCAGTCCCACAATACCAAGTCTCAGTCCTCACCTCCTCCTCTGCATCCCCTTACACAACCCTCCCCACAACCCTCCCCCACATCACCTCAACCATCTGCCCAGGCTCCCATACCAACCCCTGACTAGTGTATTATCCAATATCGGTGTGTTTATTGCGCGGGAAGAGCTTGCAAATTCTGCTTGTAAACATGGCGGGGTCTTCAAAGCTACCCATAAACATGCTGTCTGTATGCAGTAGGCTCTGACAAAAACTGCAGCTCTCCAAGACAGACTGCTGATTGTATTTGGGGAAAAAATGTGTGATTGTAATTACTGAACATTAATCATGGTGCTCTCTCTCCCGGGGACAGCTGGCTCTCACTCACTCACTCACCACACTTGTCAGAACTCTCTCTTATTCATTTTACTCACCCACTCTCTTGTCAGGAAGAGATTCCACTCCACTCACGTTCAAGTAGAGTTTTCCCTCCCTGGCTTGCTCACTCACCTCACCTCACTCACTCACTCACTCCTCACTCACTCACTCACTCACTCACTCACCCACTTCCATTCACTCACTCACCCTTCCAACCAACCACCCCTCCCACTCATTCACTCTCATCTCCACCCACCCACTTCCATTCACTTCACCTCCCAACCAACCACCCTCCCACTCATATTCACTCTTCCACCCTCCCAACCAACCACCCTCCCACTCCGATTCAGTCATTTCACCTCCCAACCAACCACACCTCCCACTCACTCACACTCACTCACTCAACATACTTAGACAAGATGAACAGTGTCCCATTCCTATGTCCAATATGGTGTGTTTGGTTTTCTATGAATGTGATTACTGATGTGGAAAGTGACATGACACATTTCTTGCTTCTGTTTTCCAAGTCAACTCTGAACAGATTCATTATTGATTAGATTCAATTTGAATTTCATAACTTTTCTTTTAAGATGCTTCCAGTGATGAAATCATGCATTGCTCTCAGTTTTAACCCCTAACTGCACACTACACAATTCATTCTCGTTGTTGTAATAATAACTATTGTTAGAATTGGACACAAATAATGGTAACCTAAATATTCCCTAATTACCAGGGCAAATGTTGGACAAACCTATTTTCTGTAGTTGATGAGACTGTTTGTGTTGTGTGTGTGTGAGTCAGAGTAAGGAGGGCTAACCCAGTGTAAGTTTCATCAGCTGGATGTACATGTACAAGTGGGAGCCACCGGTGCCCCCGACCTCCAAGGCCATCACAGCCATTCATGCAGCGCCTATAACCTCACACCATAATTGCTGATGTGTGACAGAAAGTTTCTCTGATGAAGATCAGCTGCCTGTTGGTTTGCTCCCAGAATAAAATGAAGTGATTGATATAGTGTCAACACTGTTTGAAAGCTATTCATGAGTATCTTCCTGGAGATCAGTTGATTTAACCCTTTGTATCTCCAGCTTCATTAAAAACTCATGTTGAATATTGTAAAAAAGTCAGTTGAATAATGCGTTCTGTCAGTGTTTCTCCACAGGATCACGACCAATAGAGTGGCTTGTCACTAAAAAATGGACTGTGTCTCGATTTTATCTGATATATTCTAAGTTTCCATCTCATATTGTCTCCGGTGTGCATGTTTTGCCAGTTTGAATTATTGTCACGTGTAGAACTGACATGCAGAGCAGGGGTCAGCTGTGTAAACAGCTGAAGGAGGGAGCTGTTGGTTTTGGGGTAATTGTTTGCTACACTGATTACACAAGATAGTTTTGTAGATGTGGTTGTTGAATGTAACATGGATGTGTTTACATGACAAAATGACATGGTCTTTGTAATATTGGTGAGTTACACAGGGAGGTGGGAGATGCACTGTGCACTATAATGGATTTGTGGACTGGGGAGGGGAAGGGAGGGAGGGAGACAGGTGGGGGTGTGCAAGTAGAACGGAGGGAGGTGGGGGTGCCTTAGCTTAGCAACAACCTCCTGCTGGCCTAACAGTGGTGCACTTAGCTGAGCAACAACCTCCTGCTGGCCTAACAGTGGTGCCTTAGCTTAGCAACAACCTCCTGCTGGCCTAACAGTGGTGCCTTAGCTAAGCAACAACCTCCTGCTGGCCTAACAGTGCTGGTGACTTAACTGTGGTGCCTTAGCTAAGCAACAACCTCCTGCTGGCCTAACAGTGGTGCCTTAGCTAAGCAACAACCTCCTGCTGGCCTAACAGTGGTGCCTTAGCTAAGCAACAACCTCCTGCTGGCCTAACAGTGGTGCCTTAGCTTAAGCAACAACCTCCTGCTGGCCTAACAGTGGTGCCTTAGCTTAGCAACAACCTCCTGCTGGCCTAACAGTGGTGCCTTAGCTTAGCAACAACCTCCTGCTGGCCTAACAGTGGTGCCTTAGCTAAGCAACAACCTCCTGCTGGCCTACGGTTGTTTAGTTAGTTAGACATCTGTACAGTGAAAGTCTGGCCCTAGAAAGTGATGTTTAAACTTGATTCCGTGGGTGGAGGACAGTGGGGAGGATGTCCGTTTATTGTTAAGTCTTTAATGGAGTGTAGATTCATTGATTAGGTGTTGAGGTTAGCTGTGGTATCTAATAACAGGTGAAAGTTTCACCAACAGTTTAAGGTTCAGGTAACCACAGATGAAACCTTGTCCCATCCTGTCATGTTGACACTTACAGATGTTTTCCATGCACCTGTGCTTAAGTCATTAAAGGAATTGAATACTTTTCCGTAGTGCTCAGGGTGCGATGGTTACAGAAGGAGATAGTGAAACCTACTGCAGTATTCATCGTCAAAGAACTAGTTGTCTCACTTCCAGCACTTATTACACACACTTTCTGTGTCTGAAGCATGGAGATACAAGAGTATTTGACTGGTTGCACGTATCAACAACTCGCAGTAGTCAGCAAAGTGGATTTAGCAGAGTGTGACTGAGCTAGGGACAACTGACAGTGAACAAGTCAAGTGCACAGACAGCAACTAAACACAGTTGTCATAGGGACTGCCGTCTTTATCATAGTCTCCCTTGACAACAGTCCTCGAAGGCTAATTGTTCATCCATGTTATTGTTGTCATGACACAGAGCCTTTTAGAAAGTAATCAAATGCAGCATCTGTCATGCATCTTGGATTACACTTTCTCAGTGAAGTACAGATTCTAGTACTTTTTGGGTTGAGTCCATGTGTGATTCGAACCTACATTCTCAGAGTCAGGCACCTGTTCGCAGTTCACAAAGTCAGTGATCTAACCCACTCAGCCAGCGCAGCTTCCAGACAAATTTGTACTCTTGTCTACAAGTGGAAATTGGCATGACTCCCATTGCCGAAGCTAGGAATACACAAAGCCATCTGTTGCATGTTAATGTTTAAGTCCATTTAATAGTATTTAGAACCTGCAAGTCAGTGTTTGAATATGTTTAACAGTTGGATAAAATGCTGTTTTGTAAGCGTGCATGTGTCCTTGAGATGTGTGTGTAACTGTGTTCTGTAGGTCATAGTTAGATGCAGGACAGAGACTCCACCATCTGTAGGTCCGAGTTAGATGCAGGACAGAGACTCAACCATCTGTAGGTCCGTAGTTAGATGCAGGACAGAGACTCCACCATCTGTAGGTCATAGTTAGATGCAGGACAGAGACTCCACCATCTGTAGGTCTGAGTTAGATGCAGGACAGAGACTCCACCATCTGTAGGTCATAGTTAGATGCAGGACAGAGACTCAACCATCTGTAGGTCCGAGTTAGATGCAGGACAGAGACTCCACCATCTGTAGGTCATAGTTAGATGCAGGACAGAGACTCCACCATCTCATAGTTAGATGGGACAGAGACTCACCATCTGTAGTTAGATGCAGGACAGAGACTCCACCATGTGTAGGTCCTAGTTAGATGCAGGACAGAGACTCCACCATCTGTAGGTCTGAGTTAGATGCAGGACAGAGACTCCACCATCTGTAGGTCCAGAGTTAGATGCAGGACAGAGACTCCACCATCTGTAGGTCAGAGTTAGATGCAGGACAGAGACTCCACCATCTGTAGGTCCTAGTTAGATGCAGGACAGAGACTCCACCATCTGTAGGTCATCTGTAAGTTAGTTAGATGCAGGACAGAGACTCCACCATGTGTAGGTCCCAGTTAGATGCAGGACAGAGACTCCACAGAGACTCAATCTGTAGGTCCTGAGTTAGATGCAGGACAGAGACTCCACCATCTGTAGGTCCTGAGTTAGATGCAGGACAGAGACTCCACCATCTGTGTAGGTCCTTAGATGCAGGACAGTTAGATGCAGGACAGAGACTCCACCATGTGTGATGCAGGTCCTAGTTAGATGCAGGACAGAGACTCCACCATCTGTCATAGTTAGGTCAGAGTTAGATGCAGGACAACAGAGACTCCACCATCTGTAGGTCTGGAGTTAGGTCAAGTAGTGCAGGACAGAGACTCCACCATCTGTAGGTCTGAGTTAGATGCAGGACAGAGACTCCACCATGTGTAGGTCCCAGTTAGATGCAGGACAGAGACTCCCATCTGTCTGATGCAGGAGACTCCACCATCTGAGTTTAGATGCAGGACAAAGACTCCACCATCTGTAGGTCTGAGTTAGATGCAGGACAGAGACTCCACCATCTGTAGATGTCTGACAGAGTTAGATGCAGGACAGAGACTCCACCATCTGTAGGTCATAGTTAGATGTAGGACAGAGACTCCACCATCTGTGGTCCGAAAGTTAGATGTCATAGTTAGATGCAGGACAAAGACTCCACCATCTGTAGTCGTCCGAGTTAGATGCAGGACAGTTAGATGCAGGACTCCCCACCATCTGTAGGTCTGAGTTAGATGCAGGACAAAGACTCCACCATCTGTAGGTCCTGAGTTAGATGCAGGACAGAGACTCCACCATCACCATCTGTAGGACAGGTCCCAGTCAGATGCAGGACAGAGACTCCATCCATCTGTAGGTCCGAGAGTTAGATGCAGGACAGAGACTCCACCATCTGTAGGTCAGTTAGATGCAGGACAGAGACTCCACCATCTGTAGGTCTGAGTTAGATGCAGGACAGAGACTCCACCATCTGTAGGTCATAGTTAGATGCAGGACAGAGACTCCACCATCTGTAGGTCCGAGTTAGATGCAGGACAGAGACTCCACCATCTGTATCTGTTAGATGCAGGTCCATCTGTAGGTCCCATGGTAGTTAGATGCAGGACAGAGACTCCACCATCTGTAGGTCATTGAGTTAGATGCAGGACAGAGACTCCACCATCTGTAGATGTCATGTTAGATGCAGGACAGAGACTCCACCATCTGTAGGTCATAGAGTTAGATGTTAGAGGTCCAGGATGCACAGAGACTCCACCATCTGTAGGTCCAAAAGTTAGAGTAGATGCTCCACCATCTGTAGGTCCCTAGTTAGATGCAGGACAGACTCCACCATCTGTACTCCACCATCTGTAGGTCATAGTTAGATGCAGGACAGGACTCAGAGACTCCTCCATCTGTAGGTCCGAGTTAGATGCAGGACAGAGACTCCACCATCTGTAGGTCATAGTTAGATGCAGGACAGAGACTCCTCCATCTGTAGGTCCGAGTTAGATGCAGGACAGAGACTCCACCATCTGTAGGTCCGAGTTAGATGCAGGACAGAGACTCAACCATCTGTAGGTCATAGTTAGATGCAGCTCCACTCACCATGTGTAGGTCCCAGTTAGATGCAGGACAGAGACTCCACCATCTGTAGGTCTGAGTTAGATGCAGGACAGAGACTCCACCATCTGTAGGTCAGTCTGTAGGACAGAGACCCTCCATCATAGTTAGATGCAGGACAAAGACTCCCTCCATCTGTAGGTCCAGAGTTAGATGCAGGACAGAGACTCCACCATCTGTAGGTCTGTAGGTTAGAGATGCAGGACAGAGACTCCACCATGTGTAGGTCATAGTTAGATGCAGGACAGAGACTCCACCATCTGTAGGTCCTAGTTAGATGCAGGACAGAGACTCCACCATCTGTAGGTCAGAGTTAGATGCAGGACAGAGACTCCACCATCTGTAGGTCATAGTTAGATGCAGGACAGAGACTCCACCATCTGTAGGTCATAGTTAGATGCAGGACAAAGATTCCACCATCTGTAGGTCCTAGATGCAAGACAGAGACTCCACCATCTGTAGGTCCGAGTTAGATGCAGGACAGAGACTCCACCATCTGTAGGTCATAGTTAGATGCAGGACAGAGACTCCACCATGTGTAGGTCATAGTTAGATGCAGGACAAAGACTCAACCATCTGTAGGTCATAGTTAGATGCAGGACAGAGACTCCACCATATGTAGTTCCGAGTTAGATGCAAGACAGAGACTCCACCATGTGTAGGTCCGAGTTAGATGCAGGACAGAGACTCCACCATCTGTAGGTCCGAGTTAGATGCAGGACAGAGACTCCACCATCTGTAGGTCCGAGTTAGATGCAGGACAGAGACTCCACCATCTGTAGGTCCTGAGTTAGATGCAGGACAGAGACTCCACCATCTGTAGGTCATAGTTAGATGCAGGACAGCCAGTGATGGCTTTGTGGGACAGGCCCCTGCTAATACAGATATATGTAACCAGTTCAGTTTTTGAGATTGTTGCCAACCTTTTTCTAATGTGCCAAATCAGTGTTGACTATTTACAAATAAGTATATATATTTATGTATATATGTTGTACAGCTCATTGACTGTGTGCAGCAGTCTACAGCAAACACATTAGTTGGAGAAGCTCTAGGAAACGCGGAAAAATTACGTTCTTTGAGAAGCAAACAAAAAAGCCAGCCAACGTAATCGAGTGTAGATTAAGGTACAGCCTGCGATGACTTCCTGCTCTGCCCAGTGGGACACAGGTGGCATCAGACGCCATCTTGCAGGTCACTAAGTACCACAGGGCCTTGGGAGAAACTAACAGTAATGAAGAAAAACAAAAAAAACGGGACCAACTTTCATCTCGACTGGTGTGTCAATCTGCCGGCAGCAGGCATGGTGTTAGGTTACTTGCATTTCATCAAAAAACAAATCACCTCTAACTGACCTGAACTGGTTGCTATAGAATTTTACCCTTCTGTTTTTTGCTTCAAGTCAAGAAATTCTTTTGACGTATTCTCCATCATCATAAAGTTGAAATTTTTAACCAATTGTTGCAACTGGGAAGTTTATGGTTTAGAAATTGGAATTCTTTCAACGTTTTTGCTGAAAAAATCAACTTCAGTCTTTAGTTTACTGCTTGTGTCGCGTGACGAGTCTTGCCAATGTTAAGTGTCTGTGACATATCACACTTCCTGTAGATTCCGTGATCTTCTGTGCTGATTTTATGACAGTTTTGTGGTTGGTCTGTAAGAAGCTGTTGGGTTCTGCTGCGATGGTTGTCAATCATACAGAAACATTACTAGGAACAGATTGTGAAAACAATATACAAATACCCGTAGGTATTTCCTGGCTGACTAGAAGGGGAGAGCAATACCCGTAGGTATTTCCTGTCCGACTAGCAGGGGAGAGCAATACCGTGAGGTGTATTTCCTGGCGACTAGAGAAGGGGAGAGCAATACCATGGGTACTGCCTGGCCGACTAGCAGGGGAGAGCAATACCTGGGGTATTTCCTGGCCGACTAGCAGGGGAGAGCAATACCATTAGGAATTTTCCTGGTACGACTAGCAGGGGGAGAGCACATACCAATTAAAGGTATTTCCTGGTTCTTGGCCCCACTAGCAGGGGAGAGCACACCAGGGTATTTCCCTGACTAGCAGGGGAGGCAATAATCTTCGTGAGGGTATTTCCTGGCCGTCTTAGCAGGAGAGCAATACCGTGGGTATTTCCTGGGCCGACTAGCAGGAACCAGTGAGGTATTTCCTGGCCGACTAGGCAGGGAGCAATACCACTGTGAGGTATCCTGGCCGACTAGCGGGAGAGCAATACCGTGCGAGGTATTTCCTGGCTGACTAGAAGGGGAGAGCAAAACCCGTAGGTATTTCCTGTCCGACTAGCAGGGGAGAGCAATACCCGTAGGTATTTCCTGGCCGACTAGCAGGGGAGAGCTTGTGTTAACGTTGCGGTATATGACAGATATGTGGCGGAGATCTTCACAAAAACTGGAATGCTGCTTGTATCTCAGGAAGTATATTCCAGACACCTGCAGCATATATCTTTTGTCGGAAGTTATGATATTTCTGTTGTGGTAGTAGTAAGTTGTCAGTAGCACTGTTGCTGGTTATCATGGAAATGATCGGTCTTATGTGTCTTCCGTGAGTAGTGAAAACTTCAAGATATGTTCTGGCTTAGAATTGGTCTCCAGTAAATCATTCTAGTCTCCTTGTGAAGATCTGGCTTACCATTGGTCTTCAGGAACCCATTCTTGTCCTCCTGTCTCCCAGTGAAGATCTGGGTAAAAACTGACCTTCAGGAGCCCATTCTTGTCTCCCTGGTTCCGAGTGAAGATCTGAGTTACAATTGACCTTCCCGGGTGAGAAGTTAGTTATCTGGGTAGTCTGACACTGGTGACAAGAATTGTGAACCATCATATGCTGCTGGGCTGGTGAGTCAGAGTAGTGGGTGACTGGGGTCAAGACGACAACGTTATTTAGCCAGATATGTTGTACGTTTGTGTGGCTGGTGAGTCAGAGTAGTGGGTGACTGGGGTCAAGACGACAATGTTATTTTGTGTGTGACTAGTACAGTGTTGTAGTCCTGACATTTATACAGTGTTGTTTTTTGTTGTTGCAGGTGAAGTCCCCACGTGTCCGGGCAATGACTTCACATGTGAAAACAGCCGCTGTATCAACAAGGAATGGCTGTGTGATGGTGACAATGACTGCGGTGATGACAGCGATGAACTTGGATGTCGTAAGTTGGAGTTTTTTGTCACATACAAAACATGGTCAGATGTACCTCAGACATTGGTCTGGGCTTCAGTCTGCCGCGTGTACAGAATACAAACTGGTAAATGATAGGGATGTGTGTGGACATTAGATAGGGGTGTGATGACATTTGTCAGGGATGTGATGACTTTATCCAGGGTTGATGACATTTGTCAGGGATGTTGTGACTTTATCCAGGGTTGATGACATTTGTCAGGGATGTGATGGCTTTCGTTAAGGGTGTGATGTTGGTCAGGGATTTCATTTGACTTTGGACTCCAGGGATGCTGATGGTCATTAACATCAAGGGTGTGATGTTGGTCAGGGGATTTGATGACTTTGGTCAGGGATGTGATGACATTTATCCAGGGTGTGATGACATTTGTCAGGGATGTTGTGACTTTATCCAGGGTTGATGACATTTGTCACCAGGGATGTCATTAGGTAGGGCTGTGATGACTTTGTCAGGGATGTGAGGTCATTTGTCAGGGCTGTGATGACTTTATCAGGGTTGCTGAATTTGGTCAGAGGTGGATGACATTTGTCCAGGGATGTGATGACATTTGTCATGTGATGACATTAATCAAGGCTGTGATGTTGGTCAGGGATTTGATGACTTTTGTCAGGAATGTGATGACATTTGTCAGGGCTGTGATGACATTTGTCAGGGATGTGAGGTCATTTGTCAGGGCTGTGATGACATTAATCAGGGATGTGATGTCATTTGTCAGGGATGTGATGACATTTGTCAGGGATGTGAGGTCATTAGGTAGGGCTGTGATGACATTTGTCAGGGATGTGATGTCAGGGCATTTGTCAGGGCTGTGAGGTCATTTGTCAGGGATGTGATGACATTTGTCAGGGATGTGAGGTCATTTGTCAGGGCTGTGATGACATTTGTCAGGGATGTGAGGTCAGGGCTTGGATGACATTTGTCAGGATGTGAGGTCATTTGTCAGGGCTGTGATGACATTTGTCAGGGATGTGAGGTTATTAGGTATGGTCTGGGATGTGATGACGCTTGGTCATGGATATGATGACATAAGTCGGATGTGGTGAAGTTTTGCAGGATAATTATATTTTTGTTGAAACAGGTCTATTGAAATTGTGTTAAAGCATTATTCCAGATGTCTGTCCTGATATGTACCATGTATACACATTGATTTCTAGTGAAATTATATACCAGATTAATTTCAAACCAAGTTATAATATTTAGAAAACAATTAAATATAAACTTTTGATAAACAAATTGTAAGTTTGGAACTTAAGTGTCTATTTTCTGTTTGCCCCAACAAAGATTATGTAGTGGTTTCTGTTTCTTGACGTGATGTTAGTGACTTTGAGGCAGGTAGCGCCAGGAGCGTCTCTCACAGACAGGGACAGCTTGTGTTAACGGCACACAAGGCCGTGATGTTGTCTTCACAACTACTTGTCAATGACAGAAAACCTCTGATGACAGCCCTATATTGGGAAATGATGTAGACAAGAGCCTGTGTTATGAACAACTTACTTGGGTTGAAGATTTATGACTAAGTCGGATGACGAACAAACGTGATGGAGGTGGTGACAGGTGTCAACATCTTGTCTGACATGTCGTGGCAGTTATATATCTCTATGCTGACATATTTGTCAGAAGTGCGTTAAACTGACAAATAGGAACAATTCTGGTGTGTTCATGTTTGCGTCCTTGTGTGCATGCATGTGTGTGTACACACTCACATCTGGAAACATGTTTGACATGTCTGTCAATCCTGATGGATGTGTGTATGATGTATTTAGAAGATATATGTTTGATATATCTTGATGAAGGTATTATGATATATCCTGATGGATGATACATCTGGTGGATATAAGTCGTATACAACCCCAATATGTATGATATATCCAGATATTAGCATCCAGTACCTGGGTGTGTTTGCTGGGCCGTATTGTATTATTCCTTTATTGATGGATGTTGTCACAAATAAACGAGGAAGCGGTAGATTGTGTTTGGGTTTCAGACACGCCGCCTGTGATGAGAGGTGTTCATGTGTACATGGCCATTATACTTAAAGATGAGAGTGAAACTGTAATCAAAACCTGATTAGAGGCTTGACTTGTGACACCTGTCATATTAGAGAAGAGTAATGGCAACATTGGAATCTATTCCATCTGTTTTGCCTGGCTTGGATTGTCTGCCACACAGGTATTGATTGAGTAATTCCTGGTCCTGCCGCTCTGCCTGACACTCTGCCTGAAGATAAGTGGTCTATTCTCAGTTTAAAACAATTCATTTATTTGTGGAACAGACGGTCGGTCTAGCAACAGCCATATGCCTTACAGATTTATGAGGCTGGAGCAACAAGTGGTCTATTCTCAGTTTAAAAAAACAATTCATTTATTTGTGGAACCTTTGTGAATATGATTTTGCTGTGATTGTCTGGTCTGTAAGTAGCAACAGTCCATATGCTGCTTACAGAGAATATATATACTGAAGTCCACAAATAAGGGGACATATGTCAGAGTTAGTGAGTGGGTGTTTGAACGACAGAGCCGTCTCAGTTTAACCTGTGTCTCCAGTTAGTTGTATGTTCAGTAACAGATCTTTGGGGTAATATGTGCAAAAACACATGTCTCTGTTGTGTGATAAGTGCTGTAACACATGTCTCTGTTGTTGATAAGTGCTGTAACTGCTGATAACATAAGTGCTGTAACACATGTCTCTGTTGTGTGATAAGTGCTGTAACACATGTCTCTTTGTGTGATAAGTGCTGTAACACATGTCTCTGTTGTTTGAGATGTCCAGTAACTCTGTTGTGTGATAAGTGCTGTCATCTCTGTTGTGTGATAAGTGCTTTAACATAAGTCTCTCTGTTGTGTGATAAGTGCTTTAACACATCTCTCTGTTGTGTGATAAGTGCTGTAACTTTCGTCTCTCTGTTGTGTGACATGCCTCTGTTGTGTGATAAGTGCTGTAACACATGTCTCTGCTGTGTGATAAGTGTTGCTGTAACACATGTCTCTGCTGTGTGATAAGTGCTGTAACACATCTCTCTGTTGTGTCTCTGCTGTATAAGTGCTGTAACACATGTCTCTGTTGTGTGATAAGTGCTGTAACACATGTCTCTAACTGTTGTTTGAGATGATAAGTGCTGTAACACATGTCTCTGTTGTGTGATAAGTGCTGTAACACATGTCTCTGTTGTGTGATAAGTACTGCTGTAACACATGTCTGTAACACATCTCTCTGCTGTGTGATAAGTGCTGTAACACATGTCTCTGTTGTTTGAGATGTCCAGTAACATGTCTGTTGTGTGATAAGTGTGTAACTAAGTAAGTGCTGTAACACATCTCTAGCCTGTGATAAGTGCTGTAACACATGTCTGCTGTGTGATAAGTGCTGTAACATTTATGTCTCTCGCTTTGTGTGATAACACACCTGCTGTAACACACATGTCTCTGTTGTGTGATAAGTGCTGTAACTGTAACATGTCTCTGTTGTGTGATAAGTGCTGTAACAACACATGTCTCTGTTGTTTGAGATGTCCAGTAACAACACATGTGTCTTTGTTGTGTGATAAGTGCTGTAACACATGTCTCTGTTGTGTGATAAGGCGATGTCTGTTGTATACACTTGTAACACATGTCTCTGTTGTGTGATAAAGTTGTGTGATAAGTGCTGTAACACATGTCTCTAGTGTGATGTGATAAGTGCTATAACACATAAGTGCTCTCTCTGTTGTGTGATAAGTGCTGCAACACATGTCTCTGTTGTGCTGTAACACATGTCTGCTGTGTGATACTGTAACATGTCTCTGTTGTGTGATAAGTGCTGTAACACATCTCTTGTTGTGTGATAAGTGCTGTAACACATGTCTCTGCTGTGTGATAAGTGCTGTAACACATGTCTCTGTTGTTTGAAGTGATAACATGCGTCATAAGTAACATGTGCTGTCTTAAGTTGTAACACATGCGTGATAAGTGCTGTAACACATGTCTCTGTTGTGTGATCTCACTCTGTTGTGTGATAAGTGCTGTAACACATAAGTCTCTAGTCTGTGATAAGTGCTGTAACGCATCTCTGTTGTGTGATAAGTGCTGTAACACATGTCCTCTGTTGTGATAAGTGTGATAAGTGCTGCAACACATGTCTCTGTTGTGTGTGTGATTAGTGCTGTAACACATCTCTGCTGTGTGTGATAAGTGTCTGTAACACATGTCTCTGCTTGTGTGTGATATAGTGCTGTAACACATGCCTCTGTTGTGTGATAAGTAACACATGCTGTAACACATGTCTCTGTTGAGATGTGTGATAAGTGCTGTAACACATGTCTCTAGTCTGTGATAAGTGCTGTAACACATCTCTGTTGTGTGATAAGTGCTGTAAAGACATGTCTCTGCTGTTGTGTGATAAGTACTGTAACACATCTGTTTTGTGTGTCTCTGTTGTGTGATAAGTAACACATGCTGTAACACATCTATTTTGTGATGTGATAAGTGCTGTTTGACATGTCTCTGTTGTATGCAAGTGCTGTAACACGCAAGTGCTGTAACTCTTTGTGGGATATTATCTGTAATGCATATATCTTCAGTGTGTGATATGTCTCTTATCACATTCCCTGACTTAATTATCTGTTTATGAATCTGTGGCATCAAGCAGGGACAGATATGCAGCGGATTAAACAGTCATGCTGCACTCAGGTTGAATAATCAATTTCATCTCAGAATGATCTTGCTAATGGATTTTCCCATGGCTTGTATTATTGAAGATCAAGCTGGCGACATTTCCCAAGATGTGAATGCAGTGATACCATGTTTCTGACATCCAACTGACAGCTCAGGGCTTATGGATGTTGTGTTAAATGTTATGTTGCTGATTCTGCGCTGTGATAAAACAGCACCACTCATGGTGGAACTTCAAGCTGGTTCAAAAATATTAATGTAATTGCATTCCTGATGTTTGATATTCCAAGGATTCTGTGAAGTGTCAAATATATCTGAGTCGTATCTGCTGTCAGTGACAGATGAACTTGGTTGTTGGAGAACTGGAACTGTTGTTCATAAGACAGTGGTGCTGTCAAACCCTATCTGTGGTATTCTGTCTCTAAACCCTAGCTTGTTGTCAGGTGGGTAGGGAACAGTGATTGTGTTGATGGAATGTCAGCAGATATCAACAGAAGGGTCATTTCTTATACATTCGGGGTGGTGGGGTTACTGAGCCTAGTGGTTATAGGTGGAATATTGCTGGAATATTGCTGAAAGTAAAACTGAACACACTCACAATATTGCTGAGGTACCTGCCATATAGGCGGAATATTGCTGAGGTACCTGTCATATAGGTGGAATATTGCTGAGGTACCTGTCATATAGGTGGAATATTGCTGAGGTACCTGTCATATAGGTGGAATATTGCTGAGGTACCTGTCATATAGGTGGAATATTGCTGAGGTACCTGTCATATAGATGGAATATTGCTGAGGTACCTGCCATATAGGAGGAATATTGCTGAGGTACCTGTCATATAGGTGGAATATTGCTGAGTTACCTGTCATATAGGCGGAATATTGCTGAGATACCTGTCATATAGGTGGAATATTGCTGAGGTACCTGTCATATAGGTGGAATATTGCTGAGGTACCTGTCATATAGGTGGAATATTGCTGAGGTAATTGCTGAGGTGCGTACCTGTCATATAGGTGGAATATTGCTGAGGTACCTGTCATATAGGTGGAATATTGCTGAGGTACCTGTCATATAGGTGGAATATTGCTGAGGTACCTGTCATATAGGTGGAATATTGCTGAGGTACCTGCCATATAGGTGGAATATTGCTGAGGTACCTGTCATATAGGTGGAATATTGCTGAATTACCTGTCATATAGGTGGAATATTGCTGAGGTACCTGTCATATAGGTGGGATATTGCTGAGGTACCTGTCATATAGGTGGAATATTGCTGAGGTACCTGTCATATAGGTGGAATATTGAATATTGCTGAGGTACCTGTCATATAGGTGGAATATTGCTGAGGTACCTGTCATATAGGTGGAATATTGCTGAGGTACCTGTCATATAAGTGGATATTGCTGAGGTACCAGTCATATAAGTGGAATATTGCTGGAATATTGCTGAGGTACCTGTCATATAGTTGGATATTGCTGAGGTACCTGTCATATAGGTGGAATATTGCTGAGGTACCTGTCATATAGGTGGATATTGCTGAGGTACCTGTCATATAGGTGGAATATTGCTGAGGTACCTGTCATATAAGTGGATATTGCTGAGGTACCTGTCATATAAGTGGAATATTGCTGGAATATTGCTGAGGTACCTGTTATAGAGTGGAATATTGCTGAGGTACCTGTCATATAGGTGGATATTGCTGAGGTACCTGTCATATAGGTGGATATTGCTGAGGTACCAGTCATATAGGTGGAATATTGCTGGAATATTGCTGAGGTACCTGTCATATAGGTGGAATATTGCTGGGGCTCCTGTCATATAGGTGGGATATTGCTGGAATATTGCTGAGGTACCTGTCATATAGGTGGATATTGCTGAGGTACCAGTCATATAGGTGGAATATTGCTGGAATATTTCTGAGGTACCTGTCATATAGGTGGAATATTGTTGAGATACCTGTCATATGGGTGGAATATTGCTGGGGCTCCTGTCATATAGGTGGATATTGCTGGAATATTGCTGAGGTACCTGTCATATAGGTTGAATATTGCTGAGATACCTGTCATATAGGTGGAATATTGCTGGGGTACCAGTCATATAGATGACATATTGCTGGAATATTGTAGGGACCAGTTGTTTCCTGGAAATGTAAGGCCTCTGTATACCTAGAACCCGTCGGGAGTCAATATTGCTGGGGCTCCTGTTATAGGTGTCCTGGAATATTGTTGAGGTACCAGTCATCAGTATCGTGGACATTAGACCAACTTGTATTATGTGGGACATGCTTTCCTTACCATGGTCTCTCTGATGTCATGCTTGTGATGCTTGTCGACCTGTGTTGCCTGCCAGCCATGTTACCCAGTGCTGTTTGTTTCAGCTCCACGGAACTGCACGACTGATGAGTTCCGGTGCCGGAACACAAACTGCATCCCGAAGGAGTGGAAGTGTGACGGAGACGATGACTGTGGGGACTTGTCAGATGAAAACTGTCGTAAGTTGTCATTTCCAGTATGGCAGTGGGTGAGTGGATTGGTTGGTGTTGAGTGAGTGGGTGAGTGAGTGAGTGAGTGAGTATGGTTGGAGGAGAGTGCGAGTGGAGTGGTTGGTGTTTGAGTGAGTGAGTATGGTTGGAGGAGTGGGTGAGTGGATTGGTTGGTGGAGTGAGTGGTTGAGTATGCCTGGGCAGGGGTGAGTGGATTGTTGGTGTTGAATGAGTGGGTCTAGTTTTGGTAATGGGTCTAACACATTGTGCCCATGCAGGGAGTCAAACCCAGTCGTTTGGTGTGACGATGATCCACTGTACCATCCTACCGGGTGGTCTCACTGAGATATCCAGATCTGAGCCTCCATGCCATCTCACCAGAACAACAATGTCTGCTTCATCCTAACTGTCATCGGGTTCAACTTGGGAATACATTATCTGGATTTTCTTTGGCATTGAATTGAGTTCTCGTCTTGTTGAATCTGGCTGTAATTGTAATGGCGTGTAGGTAGCTCATTGCAGTGGCGGTCCTGAAGGAAGGCCAACTGCCGATGATTGGCTGACAATTCCACTAACGCACTTGAGCAGAAGTGATCCACAATTGATCCTTTCTCCTTTCTTTGAAATGTCAACAGCCCTTTCACTGGAGCTGGGAGTTTAGTCCAAACTTTAATCATCAGCATTCTACGATGAATGATCAGTCAATGATTTCTGTTGAGATAGAAATAAAATTTGCCGTGGCTGCCGACATTCATCAGGAAAAGTAAGAATAGCATGACTGATAATAGAGAAATAATTAAATGAAGCAGCCTAGAATGGACAATTAGTACTTAAGAAATTTGGGTCAGACATTTCCATGTGTTTAATTGGCAAACTTACTGATTGCAAGGATGTTGGATGGTTCAGTACTTGGGCCATTCATGGGTCTCACAGGGGATGACTCCTCTTGTGGTGTTTAACTGATGGAGTACATCACTCACTCACCCAATAACATCCATCAACAACACCCAATAACATCCATCACTGAGTAAACACCCAACAACACGCAACAACATTCAACAACATCCAACATCAATACCCATCAACACTCCCAACAACACAAATCAACACTCAACAACAGCCAACATCAACATCCATTAACCTTTAGCCTGCTGAATTAATGAGGATGTCATTATGCTGCTCTTCTGTTGAATGGGTTCGACAGCAGCATTGTGACGATTAAGCTTTGTCATACCTGTTGACCACCTTCTTAGAACTGGCGCTATATAGCGTTACAAAACATTACCTAAAAGTCAAGAATATTGTCATCATGGTGGGTATTGATTCTGGGCAGAGTGGAAGAGTTTCTCGTACTTCAGATAACTGAGTGAAAGCTGCTTGTATGGAGATGCTACAATGTTGTATGTATGTCCAATATAGGTTTTGTATGTGTGAGAACTTCTCCATGATGCATGAGTGTAGACAGGATGTGAGTAGAGTCACGGAGGCTTTGAACACCTAGAAGTAGACGAAGGTGAAACAAGTGACTTTATCTGATGCCCTGCCATCAGGAGGCACTGATGTGAGATCAAAGTGGTGGAGACCTGGGGGAATAGGTGGAGTTTATGTGACGAGGAGCTGGTACCAGAGGTCACAGGCTCACCTGGCTGGATGTTTGTGTTTCAGAGAAGCGTCAGTGTAAACCAGATGAGTTTCAGTGTGGGGACGGAACATGCATCATGAAATCCTGGCTGTGTGACAAAGACATTGATTGCGGGGACAGTTCAGATGAGAGTAGTTGTGGTAAGTAGTATATAATCTACAATGATTCAGATGAGAGTCATTGTTGAAATTAGTATATGGTCTGTGTCCATCCATCCGTGAAGGTCCAGGTTAGAATGTACCTTCAGTAACCCATGCTTGTCGTAAGAGGCGACCAACGGGATCGGGTGGTCAGGCTTGCTGGCTTGGTTGACACATGTCATCGGTTCCTAATTGCCCAGATCGATGCTCATGCTGTTGATCACTGGATTCTCTGGTCCAGACTCGATTATTTACAGACTGCTGCCATATAGCTGGAATATTGCTGATTGTGGCGTAAAACTAAACTCACTCACACGATTTATGTCCATCCAGATGAGAGTAGTTGTGGTAAGTAGTATATGGTCTATGTCCATCCAGATGAGAGTAGTTTTGGTAAATAGTATATGGTCTATATCAAGATGAGAGTAGTTGAGGTAAATAGTATATGGTCTATGTCCATCCAGATGAGAGTAGTTGTGGTAAATAGTATATGGTCAATGTCCATCCAGATGAGAGTAGTTGTGGTAAATAGTATATGGTCTATGTCCATCAAGATGAGAGTTGTGGTAAATAGTATATGGTCTGTGATGTAAATAGTATATGGTCTATGTCAATCCAGATGAGAGTTGTGCAGCTGTGGTAAATAGTATATGGTCTATGTCAATCCAGATGAGAGAAGTTGTGGTAAGTAGTATATGGTCTATGTGTCCAATCCAGATGAGAGTTGTGATGAGAGTAGTAAATAGTATATGGTCTATGTCCATCCAGATGAGAGAAGTTGTGGTAAATAGTATATGGTCTATGTCCAATCCAGATGAGAGTTGTGGTAAATAGTATATGGTCTATTGTCCATCCAGATGAGAGTAGTTGTGGTAATCCAGATGAGAGTATATGGTCTATGGTCAATCCAGATGAGAGAAGAGTTGTGGTAAATAGTATATGGTCTATGTCCATCAAGATGAGAGTAGTTGTGGTAAATAGTATATGGTCTATGTCCATCCAGATGAGAGAAGAGAGTTGAGAAATAGTATATGGTCTATGTCCATCCAGATGAGAGTAGTTGTGGTAAATAGTATATGGTCTATGTCAATCCAGATGAGAGTAGTTGTGGTAAATAGTATATGGTCTATGTCCATCTAGATGAGAGTAGTTGTGGTAAATAGTATATGGTCTATGTCCATCTAGATGAGAGTAGTTGTGGTAAATAGTGTCTGTAAAATGTAAATCTTTATGCACGGCGCGGTACAGATAATGTCCAATATACAAGTGCCACTTCACAGAGTGTTGTTTTCAGAAGACATTTCAAATGTGAACATTTCTGGTGTGCTGGCGCCAGATCTAAGAATTGAAAGACATCTAATGTGTGCTCAGTAGACAGCGTGACACGAGCTGTAAGATTTCCCTGCACTGTAGACCGGTCCTTGTACCTCAGAGAAATGAGATTGTCTGTGCCTGTGTCAGTGTTTCTTTTCCTCATGGAGAACTTCACAGTGACTCTCAACTTAAAATGTCCCACAGATAATACAGAAAGCTTTTTGATTTGGAGAAGACAAGTTGCGAAAACCCTGAACAAATTTGTTTGCGTAATTAAAGAGAATGGCAGCCTGTCTCTCTGTGATTGCACTTCTTGATCTAGCAAGCCTTTAATTTAAGGGGAAATTGAATTTTTGTCTTGTTTGAACAAAGAAAGTGATACAACTTTCAAATAAACTGAGCGAGAGCAAGTCCTAACCTTTGCTTTGATTACGTTGTAGACGTACATCTAAACCTTTTTAATCTTTTTTTCTCTTGCATCAATTGGCGGTAGTTATAGAAACAGCTCGGTTATAATCCCCTTGAAATTAGATTATTCTTCAAGATTGCAGTTTATAAACAAAATCTATTCATATCATGACACGCAATTTACATCAACTCGTTTATTTTAAATTTTTTGTAGCAAAACTTATTGCATTGAGTTAGGTTTGCTGAAGTTCAGAACGTCCTTTTGCTGGTAAAATTGATTCAGTTGATAGAAGTTTTGTGTGAGAATAAGAGAGCAGGGTAGAGTTTATCTCATGTTTCCTTAGACATTTATTGATTCCCTCTCCAGTACTGCAGATTTACACAGCGCGCCCCCACCTCCCTACCTCGGCCTGCCTTTCCACGGGGATGTTATGTTTTTGTCAATATTTACCGTCAAGATTGTCAGGGTTTTACGACTTGGGCTACATAAAATTTAATAGAATATGTCTTGTGGAAAGTGTATATGTCCTTTGGTTGGCTTTTTATTGTGTTTATCTTGGTCTACGATTTTGTTCAAAAGATTCCTGTAATTTCCCTTGGTAATTTTTTTCTCTTTTAAGGCTTGAATGTTCTTGTAAATGACTCAGCATGTGAAGTGCTGATTATTTGAGATCTAATTTGGCATTATGTACTGAAGTTCTTCTTCCATGGTAATGCTGATATTTGTTAACTTGACATGTACAGCTGCCATTTCTGTGATGTGTCTTTTTCTCGTGCATTAGCGTCTGCCTCATGACGTTTCAGCTGATACAAATAGTGAAAAGAAAATTCAGTGAAACTACTAAAGAGCCTCTTGTCCTATGTAAGCTACAGAGCCTCTTGTCCTATGTAAGCACCGAGCATCTTGTTCTATGTAAGCTACAGAGCCTCTTGTCCTATGTAAGCACCGAACATCTTGTTCTGTGTAAGGTACAGAGCATTTTGTCCTATGTAAGCTACAGAGCATCTTGTCCTATGTAAGCTACAGAGCCTTCTGTTCTATGTAGGCTACAGAGCCTCTTGTCCTATGTAAGCTATAAAGCATCTTTTCCTATGTAAACTACAGTCTTCTGTTCATTGTGAGGTACAGAGCCTCTTGTCCTATGTAAGCTACAGAACATCTTGTCCTATGTAAGCTACAGAGCCTTCTGTTCTATATAAGCTACAGAACCTCTTGTCCTATGTAAGCTACAGAGCCTTTTGTTCTATGTAGGCTACAGAGCCTCTTGTCCTATGTAAGCTACAGAGCATCTTGTCCTATGTAAGCTACAGAGCATCTTGTCCTATGTAAGCCACAGAGCCTTCTGTTCTATGTAAGGTACAGAGCATCTTGTCCTATGTAAGCTACATAGCCTTCTGTTTTATGTGAGCTACAGAGCCTCTTGTCCTTTGTAAGCTACAGAGCCTTCTGTTCTATGTAAGCTACAAATCCTCTTGTCCTATGTAAGCTACGGAGCATCTTGTCCTATGTAAGGTACAGAGCCTCTTGTCCTTTGTAAGCTACAGAGCCTCTTGTCCTATGTAAGCTACAGAGCCTTCTGTTCTATGTAAGCTACAGAGCCTCTTGTCCTATGTAAGCACCGGAGCATCTTGTTCTATGTAAGGTAAAGAGCATTTTGTCCTATGTAAGCTACGGAGCATCTTGTCTTATGTAAGCAACAGTGCCTTCTGTTCTATGTAAGCTACGGAGCATCTTGTCCTATGTAAGCTACATAGCCTTCTGTTCTATGTGAGCTACAGAGCCTCTTGTCCTATGTAAGCTACAGAGCCTCTTGTCCTATGTAAGCTATAGAGCATCTTGTCCTATGTAAGCTACAGTCTTCTGTTCTATGTGAGGTACAGAGCCTTTTGTCCTATGTAAGCTACAGAACATCTTGTCCTATGTAAGCTACAGAGCCTTCTGTTCTATATAAGCTACAGAGCTTCTTGTCCTATGTAAGCTACAGAGCCTTCTGTTCTATGTAAGCTACAGATCCTCTTGTCCTATGTAAGCTACAGAGCATCTTGTCCTATGTAAGCTACGGAGCATCTTGTCCTATGTAAGCTACAGAGCCTTCTGTTCTATGTAAGGTACAGAGCATCTTGTCCTATGTAAGCTACATAGCCTTCTGTTCTATGTGAGCTACAGAGCCTCTTGTCCTATGTAAGCTAGAGCAGTCTTTAAAGCGCTTGTTCTCATGTAAAGACCCGGGGAGCATTCGAATCCCCACATGGGTTACAAAGCCTTTCTGTTCCCCTATGTATTGCTGGAATATTGCTAAAAACTTCTGTTCTAAACCAAACTCAGTCAGTCATCAGTAAGCTAGAGAGAGCCTCTTGTCCTATGTAAGCTGTAGAGCATCTTGTCCTATGTAAGCTACAGTCTTCTGTTCTATGTGAGGTACAGAACCTCTTGTCCTATGTAAGCTACAGAACATCTTGTCCTATGTAAGCTACAGAGCCTCCTGTTCTATATAAGCTACAGAGCCTCTTGTCCTATGTAAGATACCGAGCCTTTTGTTCTATGTAAGCTACAGATCCTCTTGTCCTATGTAAGCTACGGAGCATCTTGTCCTTGTAAGGTACAGAGCCTCTTGTCCTTTGTAAGCTACAGAGCCTCTTGTCCTATGTAAGCTACAGAGCCTCTTGTCCTATGTAAGCTACAGAGCCTCTTGTCCTATGTATGGAACAGAGCCTCTTGTCCTTTGTAAGCTACAGAGCTTCTTGACCTATGTAAGCTACAGAGCCTTCTGTTCTATGTAAGCTACAGATCCTCTTGTCCTATGTAAGCTACAAAGCATCTTGTCCTATATAAGCTACAGAGGATCTTATCCTATGTAAGGTACAGGGCATCTTGTCCTATGCAAGCTACAGAACATATTTTCCTATATAAGCTACAGAGCATCTTGTCCTATGTAAGCTACAGAGCATCTTGTCCTATGTAAGCTACAGAGCATCTCATTGTCGGTAAGCTATAGAACCTCTTGTTCTTTTAGGGTGTTTTGCTCTGAAAAACAATAAGCACAGAAGTATGGCTTTGGGCAGGAAAAACACTTGTATTTGCAAATGTTGTGATGTTGAGAGTAGTTACTGCTGATATGCTATGCTGTTGATGGTGTTAATGTGTTTCCAGAGCAATACAAGCTGCGCTGTCGGAAGGATGAGTTCCGATGTACGAGGAACGAGTACTGCATTCTCAAGGTGTACCAGTGTGATGGCGAGGACGACTGCGGAGACTGGGAGGATGAACTCCAGTGTGGTCAGTACCTACCTCTCCCACAGTAGACTTTTCCTTTGTATAGTTGCTGTATGTGTTGACGGATGACTCCATTCTCTGAATATAGGGGATCAAGGACAACTACATAAGTCAAAGTGTCAAAATTATGTGATACTGTTAAAAGTTATGTTTGGTTGGGCTTGTGGATGTTGTGTTGAACTGGGAGGGACTGAACAATTTCTCACCGTCTCCTCAGGCACAAACTACTGCAACTCGGGGGAGTTCAACTGCACGAATGGCGTATGTATCCATGACAACTGGCGCTGTGATGGAGACTGGGATTGTGAAGATGGTTCTGATGAACACAACTGCAGTGAGTATTCTCGGTATAATGTCCCCGTGATTGGAGGCTAATGGCAGACAAGAACAAAATGCCACAGATATCCCTATCTGCAATATGCCTTATTTCACAGCCCCGGGGGCGACGGGGTAGCCAAGTGATTAAAGCATTTGCTCGTCATTCCGAAGACCCGGGTTCTTTTCCTCACATGGGTACAATGTGTGAAGCGGATTTCTGGTGTCCATCACCGTAATATTGCTGGAATATTTCTAAAAGTGGCGTAAAAGCATACTCACTCATTCACAGAACAAATGTTTACTCACTCACTGCCTTATGAAGTGTTGTTGAAGCTCTTGCTATCAGTATGTTAAACAGATTTCTTTGACACTTGATAAGTTTCCCAAATGAGTTGTTTTTTTGCAAGAATTATGTAGTACAACCATTTCTACCTGTTCCTGTATAATGTTTGTCTGCAGCCAAAGTGACAACAGCTTTGGGCAAGTGTAAGAAAGATCAGTTCAGCTGCAGCAACGGCCCCTGCATCAACAAAACACAGCGCTGTGACGGCAACATTGACTGCTCTGACAACAGCGATGAGGAACACTGCAGTAAGTAGCATCCACTTCCACATTCCACGTTTTGTTTGTTTTAACATTACACTCAGCAATATTCCAGCTCTAAGATAGATGGTGGTCTGTACATAATTCGGGGTGGTGGGGTAGCCTAGTGGTCAAAGCGTTCGCTCGTCATGCCAAAAACCCGGGTTTGATTCCCATGTTGGTACAATATGTGAAGCCCATTTCTGGTGTCCCCAGATGTGATATTGCTGGAATATTGCTAAAAGTGACGTAAAACTCACTCACTCACTCACTCATGTAAATAATTCAGTCTGGAGCAAACAGTCCAGTGGTTGACTATCATGAGCATCTATCTTGACCAGTTCTAACCTGGACCGTCTTGCAGTGATGTAGCTGGAACGTTGCTGCCAGTGGAGCAGGTGTTACTCACTCAGGATGATGTTGTTTGGTTTCCTGTTGTTGCAGAAGTGAAGCAGTGCAGTCAAGGACAGTTCCGGTGTCAGAACAACAAGTGTATCGGCCTCCAGAAGGTCTGCAATGGCATCGACGAGTGTCAGGACAACTCGGATGAACAGAACTGTAGTAAGTACTCACCCTCTGTCTCAGGCCATCATGCTTAGTCCTGCTCTGATGATCTCACTCCGTCCTGCTCTGATGATCTTGCTCCGTCCTGCTCTGATGATTGTGCTCAGTCCTGCTCTGATGATCTTGCTTAGTCCTGCTCTGATGATCTTTCTTAGTCCTGCTCTGACCGTCTTGCTTAGTCCTGCTCTGACCGTCTTGCTTAGTCCTGCTCTGATGATCTCGCTTAGTCCTGCTCTGATGATCTCACTCCGTCCTGCTCTGATGATCTCGCTCCGTCCTGCTCTGATGATCTCGCTTAGTCCTGCTCTGATCGTCTTGCTTAGTCCTGCTCTGACCGTCTTGCTTAGTCCTGCTCTGATGATCTTTCTTAGTCCTGCTCTGACCGTCTTGCTTAGTCCTGCTCTGACCGTCTTGCTTAGTCCTGCTCTGATGATCTCGCTTAGTCCTGCTCTGATGATCTCACTCCGTCCTGCTCTGATGATCTCGCTCCGTCCTGCTCTGATGATCTCGCTTAGTCCTGCTCTGATCGTCTTGCTTAGTCCTGCTCTGATGATCTTGCTTAGTCCTGCTCTGATGATCTTGCTTAGTCCTGCTCTGATGATCTTGCTTAGTCCTGCTCTGATGATCTCGCTTAGTCCTGCTCTGATGATCTCACTCCGTCCCTGCTCTGATGATCTCCCTCCGTCCTGCTCTGATGATCTCGGCTAGTCCTGCTCTGATGATCTCACTCCGTCCTGCTCTGATGATCTCTGCTTAGTCCTGCTCTGATGATCTCGCTCCGTCCTGCTCTGATGATCTCACTCCGTCCTGCTCTGATGATCTCGCTCCGTCCTGCTCTGATGATCTCGCTTAGTCCTGCTCTGATCGTCTTGCTTAGTCCTGCTCTGACCGTCTTGCTTAGTCCTGCTCTGATGATCTTGCTTAGTCCTGCTGTGATGATCTCGCTCCGTCCTGCTCTGATGATCTCGCTCCGTCCTGCTCTGATGATCTCGCTTAGTCCTGCTCTGATCGTCTTGCTTAGTCCTGCTCTGACCGTCTTGCTTAGTCCTGCTCTGATGATCTCGCTTAGTCCTGCTCTGATCGTCTTGCTTAGTCCTGCTCTGACCGTCTTGCTTAGTCCTGCTCTGATCGTCTTGCTTAGTCCTGCTCTGATGATCTTGCTTGGTCCTGCTCTGATGATCTTGCTTGGTCCTGCTCTGATGATCTTGCTCCGTCCTGCTCTGATGATCTCGCTTAGTCCTGCTCTGATGATCTCGCTCTATCCTGCTCTGATGATCTCGCTCTGTCCTGCTCTGATGATCTTGCTTAGTCCTGCTCTGACGGTCTTGCTTAGTCCTGCTCTGATGATCTTGCTTAGTCCTGCTCTGATGATCTTGCTTAGTCCTGCTCTGACAATAGTACTAGTAGTTATTCGTCTTTCTCCAGACTATCTTGTGTAGTCAAGTCGGGACCATCCTGCTTGGTCCTTCTGAGTTTTGTTGTGTGTTGATAACCAGTCCTGTCAGCTATGGAGTCATATTGTTGTTCTGATATGTTGATGGGTATGAGATCATTGTGGAATAGATCAATTCTAGTAGCCTGTCAAATATCCTGCTCTCAGTGGGGTGAAGATTGCCATGATGGCCATAACAAATCCAGGCTGAGTACAAATATGCATGAATAGATTGTTAGTAAGTTCTGTTTTCTTGTCCAGGCTTGCCGATATCATGTGGCAGTAACCAAGGCAACTGTTCCCACATGTGCGTGCAGACAAGTATCGGGGCCAAGTGCACCTGTCCAGTGGGTTACCAGCTGGCCAAAGACAAGAGAACCTGTGAAGGTAGGCAGTTCCTCCATCTTCTTGGTGATGACCAGCCATCATGTTTGATGTCTGTGTTGGCAATGACAAGCCCTCATTTTTTATCTCCATGTTAGTGATGACAAGCCATCATTTTTTATCATTCCCCCTTTTTCGGGGGGTATAAATATGGATGTGCGTGTGTTCGTCCGTCTTTTCTGATCCAGAACATAAAAAACGTTCAATATTTCTTCACCAAACTTGGCACATAGACAGGTCTAGTGGTGAACTGGTGCTATTTGGTAGTTTTGGATTTCTGAATGAAATATTTTTTGCTTTTCCATGGCAACAAGTTTGACTTCAACTGAAATTGGTGGTGGTGCTCTTTTCCGGAGAAAGTACTCCAATAATCTCTTTCCACTTTGTTGCTATCCAAGAACCTAATGATATAGATCAACATTACTCAGGTACATCAAACCATACATTTGACAGTCATAACTAGGTCAAATATTCATGGCAAGTATTTTATCATTGTGGGGATATTGATGACTTTGTCTTCTTGTCTCCATGGTAGTGATGACAGGCAATAATATTTTGATCTTCACATTACTGACTTGGGGAAAACAGTGATTCTTTTTCATCTACAATATTTAGTTGCAAATTTGTATTTTGAATGTTTCTTTGCCTGCTCCCAGCCTGTTGTGTTATACAAGTGAGTCAACATGAGATTCCTGACTCACGAGTGGAGGGAGCAGGGAGATTTTATGTGTGCTACCAGCAGGCACCTGTACCTCAAGCAGGAGGTGCCAGTCAAGTATTGTTCCTGTATGTTGGGAGAGCAAGCCTGCATTAATGTTTTCCTTGATGAGTACAATGCTGATAGCTTGAATCTTATGTTATCCAGTGTATAGGATCAAGAGTGCACAAACATATATTCATGCTTACCAACCACTTACTAAACTCTGTAACACTAACAGCAGATGAATATGTGTTTTGATGGTGACTTTCCAATCTTTTTATATACCGGTAGTGTTCTATCAAAATTTCCATGGTTTCATTAACCAATGCTCAATGACAAACTTTTCTTACTGCTACGACCATTAAACGAGATGTGCAGGCAAGTAGTGTGCACCCATGCAAGGGGAAGTAACTGATTCTATATCTGATCTAATTATTGATAGTATTGAAGCATTTCACTGACTGGTTCATGTTTTCGAGATGTTGAATATTTACAGACTCTTACTTCTGAAAATGGAAATGAAAACAAAACAAGCATGTGATTTTCTGATGACGCGGTGGTACCTGAGAACCAAGGCTAACTATTTTTGCCTAAAATAGAAACTAGTATGCTTGTTCTTAGGCAATATTTGGCAGATTCTATTGTTGTTCTAAGTAAATCACCTGTAGACCAAGGAGAAGGTTTTGCTCAGCTGATTCCTATTCCTGGCTTAGTGAAACAAATACTCATGGTAACCTAATGTTAATCTGCACATAAAACAATGGCTAGCATTCAAACTGTACATCATCATGTATAGCAAGTTTTACATTTTAGTTGAACAAGTTTACAAATGGCAACACAGGCATGTAACTACACCAGGGCCTAGATTGTTGAAGCTCTCTTAGCTCTAAGATAGTCAAAAGTGCCATACATTAATATTAACTTACGACTATCTTAGCTGTTGTGTTGGTTTTAGCTTTACAGTAATAGTTTTGAAATATTGTTGCAGACTTTGACGAGTGTGGGTTTGATGGAACCTGCAGTCAGATGTGTGAGAATACACGGGGCTCGTACAAGTGTTCCTGTGTCAGCGGCTACCGACTCAAGCCCGACGGCCGTGGCTGCAAGGCGCTAGGTAAGTATGTCGAACAGGAGGTAGAAGGTTCATGAACAGTTCAATATTTTCTCTGCAGTCAGGTGTAAACATCACGGGCCAGTTCTGAACTTGTGTCTCAGCCAATAAGGAACTTGCAGGAATATGTTTGTCATTTCAAAGGCAAGAAGACAAAGGTTCAAATGTCAATTGCAGATCTGTTGTGTTCACTATTCAGGAACTTCAGAACCTATCATTATTCACTCACTTGCAGGGGGAGAGGCGTATCTGATATTTGCCAACCGTGTGGACATCCGAAGAGTGACGACTGACCGGTCCGAGTACACGTCCATCCTGGATGGGCTGCGGAATGCTATTGCCCTGGACTTCCACCATGAGAAGGGGCTGGTCTTCTGGTCGGACATCACCCTGGACAAGATCAAGCGGGCTTACCTCAATGGCAGCAAGATCAAGGAAATTGTAGCAGACGGCTTGGAGAGTCCAAGTAAGTCATGACGGGAGATCTTGAAGGCAGGAGAATACGATAACCATCATGCTGGTGGTGATGTTGATGTTGATGTTGATGTTGATGCTGGAACTGGATGTTGATATTGATGTTGGTGTTGATGCTGGAACTGGATGTTGATATTGATGTTGGTGTTGATGCTGGAACTGGATGTTGATATTGATGTTGGTGTTGATGCTGGAACTGGATGTTGATATTGATGTTGGTGTTGATGCTGGAACTGGATGTTGATATTGATGTTGGTGTTGATGCTGGAACTGGATGTTGATATTGATGTTGGTGTTGATGCTGGAACTGGATGTTGATATTGATGTTGATGTTGATGGTGCCTGTGCTGTTGGGAGTACTTAGATATGAAAATGTGAATGACAAGAATCATGTTGAGGTAACTGTAGGTGAAGGTATGTGGCAGTATGTGACTAAATGACTGTATGGGACTGTGTGTGACTGTGTGTTAAATCGTGTGACTGTATGACTACATGTAAGGGACCGTGTGTGACAGAATCTGACTGTAAGTTACTGATACAGCCAACACTCACTAGTTCCCTGTCTCCCCACCAGGTGGACTTGCAGTAGACTGGGTGCACAACATGCTGTTCTGGACTGATGCCGGCACATCACGTATTGAGGTCGCCGACCTGGATGGCAACCATCGTAAAGTCCTTATTTGGGAGAACCTAGAGAAACCACGCGCCATCGCAGCCCATCCCAAACGAGGGTAGGTCAGCAGTGGTGATGTCTTCACTGTGATCTACACTGTATTAATGACCTTCTATCTATCCATTTCTCGGCAACAAGTTGACGTAATACTCTGCGTCCTGGTATTGTAAATTGTCACATCTCCTGATAAGTGTTGTATATCACATCTCCTGACATCTCAAGTATACCGGGGTGGTGGGGAAGCCTAGTGGTTAAAACGTTGGCTCGTCACGCCGAAGACCGGGTTCGAATCCCCACATGGGTACAATGTGTGAAGCCAATTTCTGGTGTCCCCTGCCGTGATGTTGCTGGAATATTGCTAAAAGCGGCGTAAAACCAAACTCAGTCAGTCAGTCAAGTATACCGACATGATGTAATCATGTATTATGTGCAGATAGTTTGTGAAGGTTGTGACGTGGACATCTTGTGTTGTTGTCTCACAGGGCCATCTTCTGGACCGACTGGGGAAGCACGCCTAAGATCGAGCGCGCCAGTATGGACGGCAGTGAGAGGATGCTGCTAGCCAACACGTCGCTGTTCTGGCCCAACGGCCTGACAGTCGACTACGCTGCTGAGCGCATCTATTGGGCCGATGCCAAGCACCACGTCATCGAGTGCTCCGACCTCGTAGGCAAGAACAGGCGGACGGTCATCAGTGAAGGTATTGTGAAACAAGATATCACTTCTGTGGAAACTTCTCCCAATGTTTTAGTTGTAAATGTTGGCATTAGGGAGTGGGAACTGACCTTATATGGATAATAACAAGACTAGACTGACTAGACTGTTGTGATTACAAATACAAATTAGCTGTAAACATATCTGTAGATATCATGGAAGTTACTTCACCTGATGTAGGGGCAGAAGGTGGCCCTAGCAGTGCCCCATTGATACAAGCAGTAATAAGAAAAAACATCTGGATGCATATTTGTGATTTTGGTAAGTAGAGACAATATGAGTTTTCAACAGAATTCACTTTTCTTGTTCTATTTATTTTCCTACAATATGACAAGATGGTGGAGGGGATTTGCCAGTTGTATATGTGGTTTAATGAAGCAAAGATGTTATTTTTAACAACACTTTTGTAATAAAGGAATGGTGTTGTATGACTTGCTAGTCATTGTGCATGTAGATGAGGATGTGGATGTTGAAATTGTCAACTTCTTGTCAACAGGTCTGCCCCATCCATTCGCTCTGACGATGTTTGAGGATGAGCTCTACTGGACAGACTGGCACACAAAGAGCATCAACAAGGCCAATAAGTTCAACGGCAATGAAGTGGAGACAATCCGGAACCGCCTCCATTACCCGATGGACATCCACACCTTCCACCCTCAGAGACAGCCACCGAGTGAGTACTACAGCAACTGTACATCACACTGTCTGCCATGTTCTGGTGCAGCGTCTCTAGATCAAACACTGACTGTCTGCCATGTTCTGGTGCAGCATCTCTACATCAAACACTGACTGTCTGCCATGTTCTGGTGCAGCAGCTGTAGATCACACTGTCTGCCATGTTCTGGTGCAGCATCTCTAGATCAAACACTGACTGTCTGCCAAGTTCTGGTGCAGCATCTCTAGATCAAACACTGACTGTCTGCCATGTTCTGGTGCAACATCTCTAGATCAAACACTGACTGTCTGCCATGTTCTGGTGCAGCATCTCTAGATCAAACACTGACTGTCTGCCATGTTCTGGTGCAACATCTCTAGATCAAACACTGACTGTCTGCCATGTTCTGGTGCAGCATCTCTAGATCAAACACTGACTGTCTGCCATGTTCTGGTGCAACATCTCTAGATCAAACACTGACTGTCTGCCATGTTCTGGTGCAACATCTCTAGATCAAACACTGACTGTCTGCCATGTTCTGGTGCAGCATCTCTAGATCAAACACTGACTGTCTGCCATGTTCTGGTGCAACATCTCTAGATCAAACACTGACTGTCTGCCATGTTCTGGTGCAGCATCTCTAGATCAAACACTGACTGTCTGCCATGTTCTGGTGCAGCATCTCTAGATCAAACACTGACTGTCTGCCATGTTCTGGTGCAGCATCTCTAGATCAAACACTGACTGTCTGCCATGTTCTGGTGCAGCATCTCTAGATCAAACACTGACTGTCTGCCATGTTCTGGTGCAGCATCTCTAGATCAAACACTGACTGTCTGCCATGTTCTGGTGCAACATCTCTAGATCAAACACTGACTGTCTGCCATGTTCTGGTGCAGCATCTCTAGATCAAACACTGACTGTCTGCCATGTTCTGGTGCAGCATCTCTAGATCAAACACTGACTGTCTGCCATGTTCTGGTGCAGCATCTCTAGATCAAACACTGACTGTCTGCCATGTTCTGGTAGAGCATCTCTATATCAAACACTGACTGCCTCCCTGATCTGAGCCAGCACCTAGATAATAAGAGGTATATCTTCTATGATCATGTGCAGCACCAGTGGACAAATACAGTAACTTGACCTGGCTCACTTTGAGTCATCATAACACAATATTTACCCTATTAAACAATGCTCTAATTAACCAAGCATAAAACCATGAGAGGCCTCAGTGATTATGCTCTCTCTCACTCACTCATCAGATATTCAACTGTTCTGATATATTTACAGCCCGGAACCACTGTCGAAACAACAATGGCCGCTGCAGCCATCTGTGCCTCCCGAATGAGAAGAGCTTCTCGTGTGCGTGTCCTACCGGGCTGCAGCTGCAGGCGGACAGGAAGAAGTGCAGCAAGAGTGAGTACAAGCGCACTGGATCACAATCCTGGCTCCTTAGACAGCTTGCCCACCACACCCCCAATAAAGCTTCTTAAAGCTTGTGTAGTGTATGCACTGTCATCACCAGTTTTGTCATCAGCTTCTTTCAACAAGAAACAAAGAAGAAGAGATAAGATTCATGTCTCCTCATGTTCATGCAAGAACTTACATCATGTCAATATGGGATACACTTGTAGGCGTTGGAGCCATCTTGGATATTTTTCTGAAGTAATTCATTATTGTCTTCTTTTGCAGACATTGACTCATTCCTGCTGTTCTCAACCCAGTCCGACATCCGCCGCGTGACTCTGGACACACCCGACCTGACCGATGTCGTCATCCCACTCTCGGGCATCTCACGTGCGGTGGGTGTGGAGTGGGACAGTGAGACCGACTCCATCTTCTGGTCGGATGTCGGCTCAGATGTAATTGGGCGTGCTCGGTGGGACGGGACAGGAGACGAGGTGAGGAGTATAGGATACAATGGGGTGTGTTACTAGGACTTGGAGCTATTACTGACATCTGTCACTAAAATCTGTTCTCACGACTGATCCCATGCAGAGTTACCTCCCTTTGACCTGTCCTTGTGTATACAGACACAGATATTGCCTACTGTTAGGTAAAGAACTCTCTCTTCAACACATTTAGCATTGTGTAGAGTTATCTCCCCTTGACCAGAGCTCTCCTGTTGCAGCACATCGTGGGGTCGAGCCTGGACAGTCCGGCTGGTCTGGCTCTGGATTGGGTAGCCAGGAAGATCTACTGGACAGACGCTGGGAATGACCGGATCGAAGTTGCCAACCTAGACGGCTCTATGAGAACTGTTTTACTGTGGGAGAACTTCGACCATCCTAGGGACATTGTCGTGGATCCCAGGGCAGGGTCAGTATACTGGATGTGGTCAAATACTCTTGAAATCATCTGGTGTCAATCCAGCATGAAACATGTTTGAAATGTGTCCCAACATTGTGAATATTGTTTTAGAGCTGTGGAAATAGAGCTTGCACTATGGGATGCTGTAAAATGTCCCAAACTGTCTGTGATTGAGTTGAACATGTATGCAGGTGCTCCTCCAGTGTGATGGGGTAGCCTAGTGGTTAAGGGGTTTGCTCGTCACGAAGACCCGGGACTTTACATAATCTGATTTCAACTTCGATGTCTGATTTACCTTGATTTCAACTTGTATTGCTACGGAATGCTTTGTCAACACACATTTTCTTGATTTACATGAAACAAAAGTTGTGTTCTCGGTGGGAATAACTTCTGTCATGAACTGTGACCTTGACCTCCAGGTTCATGTACTGGACGGACTGGGGCAAGAAGCCGAAGATTGAGCGGTCAGGGATGGATGGTAGCGGGGCGCATCATCCTCATCAACAAGAACCTCACCTGGCCAAATGGTCTGGCTATCGACTATGAAAAGAGTAGGTTGTACTGGACGGATGCAGGAGAGAAAACTATCGAGTCCTGTACACTACACGGAGCTGAGAGGAAGGTAGGTCCCAGAACACACAAGAGTCTGTTTGTTGAGGGCCAGCTTTATGCAGGGTCTGTTTAGAGTTGCCTTTATAAAGAACATCTGTTGAGGATTGAGGGTTGCTCCTCTCAAAAAAGTATTTGTTGAAGGCTAGCTGAAGTGAGTGAGGGTGTTTGTTGAAGGTTGATCGCTGGTTATGTGTGCTAGTTGGTTACTATTGAATTTTGTTCAATGGTTTTTTTATACATTTTGTGTGGTAGCAATGCCTTACAGTGAAAGGCCATTTGTTGGATTCATGCCATGTTTGTGTGTCCGCAGAGTGTGATTGCCCTCGGCCTACACCACCCTTTCGGCCTGGCACTGAAGGGTCCCTCATGTACTGGACGGACTGGGAAACACAGAGCATCCACTTCGCCAACAAGTTCACGGGGTCAGAGAGGGGCATCCTCATGAGAGATCTTGGCCATCTGATGGACATCCATGTCTTCCACAGGTCACGGGATGAAGGTGAGGCCAAGACCTTGGTTAGAAGTAAACCCTGACCTTACCATGTGACCTTGACCTTGCACTGGGTTAAATGGCCGGGATCTGTAATGGAATATCTTGAGACTTTGATGCTATTGATAGATTCTTTGACCTTGAAGTGGGACATGTTGATATATGTATGAAACTGTGGTGAAAAGATGGCGTCCAGCTTAGTGCTGATCCATGTAGCAGAAAGAGGTAAATAGCTTCACCACAGCGGAAGTAGAAGGTACAAAGTGAGATCAGGTAAATACTTCATGACAGCTGAAGTAGAAGGTACAGAGTGAGATCAGGTAAATACTTCATGACAGCTGAAGTAGAAGGTACAGAGTGAGATCAGGTAAATACTTCATGACAGCTGAAGTAGAAGGTACAGAGTGAGATCAGGTCGATGCAGTGTCTAAACTACAGTATCTATATCCATGCCTCTTCTCTTCAGTCCACACCATGTGCAGCACCAACAACGGCGGCTGCAGTCATCTGTGTCTGGTGGCACCACTACCTCGAGGTCACGCATGTGCCTGCCCCACAGGAATACTCCTGAAGGACGATCAGAAAACGTGTGCTGCAGGTGAGTCTGGGATAGCTGAGTATTGTACTGTTTATAACTGTACTCTCATAATGATCCGTTAAACCTCAGTTTAATGTCACTGTTGAGATTTTTGTGAATCATGTAATTTCTTTTGACTGTGAAATAAAGCGGCATTCATTCATTCTCTGCTTGTGTTTCTGCTCCTCCAGAGATGACCGACTTCCTCATCTTCACTCGTCGCACCGACATCCGCAAGATCTCGCTGGACGTTGACTACTACGCTGATGTTGTGATACCTGTTGGAGAGCTGAAGAATGCCATTGCCATCGATGTAGACGGTGTTGAAGGTGAGTGTCAACTGTATGTCATGACATGATCCTGTTGGAGAGCTACTACAATGCCATCGCCATCGATGTAGACGGTGTTGAAGGTGAGTGTCAACTGTATGTCATGACATGATCCTGTTGGAGAGCTACTACAATGCCATCGCCATCGATGTAGACGGTGTTGAAGGTGAGTGTCAACTGTATGTCATGACATGATCCTGTTGGAGAGCTACTACAATGCCATCGCCATCGATGTAGACGGTGTTGAAGGTGAGTGTCAACTGTATGTCATGACATGATCCTGTTGGAGAGCTACTACAATGCCATCGCCATCGATGTAGACGGTGTTGAAGGTGAGTGTCAACTGTATGTCATGACATGATCCTGTTGGAGAGCTACTACAATGCCATCGCCATCGATGTAGACGGTGTTGAAGGTGAGTGTCAACTGTATGTCATGACATGATCCTGTTGGAGAGCTACTACAATGCCATCGCCATCGATGTAGACGGTGTTGAAGGTGAGTGTCAACTGTATGTCATGACATGATCCTGTTGGAGAGCTACTACAATGCCATCGCCATCGATGTAGACGGTGTTGAAGGTGAGTGTCAACTGTATGTCATGACATGATCCTGTTGGAGAGCTACTACAATGCCATCGCCATCGATGTAGACGGTGTTGAAGGTGAGTGTCAACTGTATGTCATGACATGATCCTGTTGGAGAGCTGAAGAATGCCATCGCCATCGATGTAGACGGTGTTGAAGGTGAGTGTCAACTGTATGTCATGACATGATCCTGTTGGAGAGCTACTACAATGCCATCGCCATCGATGTAGACGGTGTTGAAGGTGAGTGTCAACTGTATGTCATGACATGATCCTGTTGGAGAGCTACTACAATGCCATCGCCATCGATGTAGACGGTGTTGAAGGTGAGTGTCAACTGTATGTCATGACATGATCCTGTTGGAGAGCTACTACAATGCCATCAATGATGATTTAGCGGAAGCTGAGTGTTAACTGTGTGTATCAGAGATGTGGAGAGTGGACTCTTTCTTAATGTATAGTTAAATTTATTGGCACTTCAGACTGTCCTTTGCTTGTAGGTGTAACTAACTGCAAGAAATCTAAGAGTGACTTTCATCAAATTCTCACAGAACCATTCATCTTGAATTCTGCTGTTCCACTTCTGATCCTTGAAACCCCTCGGATGTTAGCATGAAGATGCATACAAGACTTCATCCACTTTGAACTAGTTAGATGTAGGCCTGGAGGTCAGGCTTCTGTTGACGGATGTTGTTTGTTATATCGGTCCCAGGTTTGTGAGGTCCACCATGATATGGCTGATAGAGTGATGATGTCCTTCACCTACTTATACACTGTGTTTCAGGTAAGATGTACTGGACCGACACCGTGCTGGACCACATTGCCCGGTCCAACCTGGACGGGTCTGGGTATGAAGTTGTAATCAGCCAGGGCCTCCACACAGCAGATGGACTTGCTGTTGATGCCGTTGGGGGAAAGATCTACTGGACTGATGATGGCCGCAACCGCATCGGAGTGGCCACTCTGAACGGCAAGATGAGGAAAGTGTTGATCTGGGACGACCTGGACAAGCCCCGAGCTATAGCTCTACATTATGATGCTGGGTACGTTGAGTGTTTACTGTTCTAGTCCTACATTATGATGCTGGTTGGTAGCTATGTCTTTGGTTATACAGGTCCATGTCTTATTTTTGTACAACTATGTTTCTTTGTTGTACAGGTACATGTATTGGACAGACTGGGGCAAGATTCCTCGGATCGAACGTGCTGACATGGATGGCAACAACCGTCATCTCATCATTGGGGAGAACTTGGCCTGGCCCAATGGCCTGGTGATTGACATCCCAACATCTCGCATCATCTGGGCAGATGCTCGAACTGAGGTGTGTAATTTAAAGTCAAGTTTCCTCAGACACATGAGCTCTGCTGAACTCTGACGGCCAGTGACATGCTTCATCCATGTCCTGTGCAGAAGTTACTGACATCAGTCGGTGTCCTTCCATGAGCTTCACCTCAATGCTTTGGGCAAAGTCTATGAGAAGTCAGGGCCACAAGAAAACAAATTGCTCTGAAATGTGAACTTTTACCGAAAGTGTTACATGTTTATCTTTTGGATATGGACCTGCCTTTGTGAAAGGCTTTTAAAAACATATGTCTAAGGTCAAGGTCAGTGTCAGTTTTTTGGCATGGTCACCTCTACAGACGTGCAGCTTTGTATTTACAGGAAATTATATAAATCCTACCACATGTCGGTGTCATGGCAGAATTAAGAACCGTAAATAGATGATTATTCTTATGAAGTTCAATATCAGACTATCATGTTATAAACAAAACAAATATGAACTAAAGAAATCAATATTTCACATGGAAATGTACAGTAAATAGAGCTGAACATTTGTAATATTGTTACATTCTCCGACTGTGTATTGTCATACATCTTGTGCTATCACCTCAGCTGATTGAGTGCTCCGACCTGAACGGCCACCGGCGACGAAAGCTTGTGGACCACGTGGCCCACCCCTATGGCCTGACGGTGGCCGGCAACTATGTGTACTGGACAGACTGGCAGGCCACCGCGGTGCACAAGGCTAACAAGAACACTGGCTCCAACCCAACCAAGATCAGGGAGAATCTGCCCGGGATCATGGACATGCATGCTGTGCAGGTCAACAGACAAGGTGGGTGGATGGGCAGATGGTGGGGCCAGTACGCCAGGTGGTTACGGTAAGCAGATGCTGAGGGTCCAGATGGTGGGTGGAGGTTCGATGGCATGGTGATGGCAGGGGTGGGTGGTGGATGGGCAGGGGTGGTGGAGGGGTGGGATCAGATCCAGCAGGTGTTGGGCAGATGGTATGGACAGGTGGGCAGATGTCGTGGGTGGGATGGTCCAGCAGGTCAGGGTGGACGTGGCAGATCAGTGGGTCGGGTGTGAAACCCAGTCCAGCAGGTCAGGTAGGTGGGTGGGCAGTGTGTGAAGGGTGGATCAGTCCAGCAGGCCAGTGGTGGTCCAACAGGAAAATGGATGGGCAGGTGGGCACTGTAGTCCAGCAGGTCGGTAGGCATGGGGTGGACCAGTCCAGCAGGCTGGGGATCCAGTGGTAGCAGGGTAGGGGATGGATCAGTCCCAGCCCAGGTCCAGAGTAGTATGTGGTGGATGGCAGTCCAGCAGGCCAGGTAGTGGACGGGTGGAAGGTGGATCCCAACCAGCAGGGTGGATCAGTCCAGCAGGTCAGGTCCCAGTATGGGTGTAGGAAGTCGTATGGGTGGATCAGTGAAGTAATGGGTGGGGTGGATCAGGATCAGTCCAGCAGGTCAGGTAGTATGGATGGAGTAGTGCATCTATGGGTGGATCAGTGTCAGGTCAGGTGGTAATGGATGGTGGGTAGTGCTTCCAGTCCCATAGCAGGTAGTATGGGGTGGGTAGCAGGTATTGGGGTGGATCAGTCCAGGGTCAGGTGTGCATGTAGGTGAGGCCAGTGTTGAGGGGTGGACTCAGTCCAGCAGGTCAGGTAGTATGTGGGTAGGTAAATGGGTGGATCTGGCAGGCCAGGTAGTAGTGGATGGAGTATGTCGATGGGGTGGATCAGTCCAGCAGGTCAGGTAGTATGGCAGTGGGTGGGTATGGAGTGGATGTAGTGATGACAGTGGAGTGCGACCTTGTTAGTAGTGGTGGATGGGAGGGGATGGACTGATCCCTGTTTTGCAGGGTGGATGGAGTGGATAGTGTTGAGGGAGTCCCATGGGGTGAGTGTTTGAGGTGTTGGCATGGATGGAGTAGTATGTGGCAGGCATGGATGGTGAATCAAAGCGGCAGGATGGAAAGTGAGTATGTGGGTGGTAGGGTGGATGTTTGGACATTGTTGGCAGGGTGGATGGGAGTGATGTTTGGATTGTTGGCAGGGCATGGTGATGTTTGAATTAATGTTGGACATGGGGTGATGTTTGGATAGTGTTGGCAGGTGGATGGGGGGTGATGTTTGGATTGGGTGGATAGGATGTTGGAGAGTGGAGCAGGGTGGATGGGGGTGATGTTTGGATATTGTTGTGGATGGGAGTGATATTTGGATATTGGCGTGGATGGGGTGATGTTTGGATAATGTGGCAGAATTGGACGGAATTGATGTTTGGATTGTGTGGATGTGGGGTGGATGTTTGGATTGGTGGATGGGAATGATGGTTGGATATTGCTGGCAGGGGTGGATAAGGTGGATGGCTAAATTGTAAAGTGGATGGATAGGTGATTTTGGATAGGGGGTGGATAGAGTGATGTTTGGATGTTGGCTTAGAATGGATTGTGTTTGGATAATGTTGGCAGGAGTGGATGAAATTGAGGGTGGATTGGGTGGATGCAGGTGGATATTTGGATTGTGGCAGGGTGGATAGGCTGGATATTTGGATTGTGGATGGGCATGGGAAAGGTGGATAGGTGGATGGATGGAAATGATGGATAATGGATAGTGGATGAAGCATGGTGGGTGGATAAAGAGCAGATCAGTTGGGTAGATGATTGGATAGGGGTGGGGTGAATAGTCATAGTGTGGATCAGTCAAGGTTGGTAAGTAGGATTATATATGTGGTGTGTGGGATGTTGATTGGGTGGACTTATGGACCCTTTGTATTATCAGCAGTGTTTCATTTTTCCAGAGACTCACGTGAACCGGTGCGGAGACAAGAATGGAGGGTGTTCCCACCTGTGCCTGCCACGCCCCAAGGGGATCACGTGTGCCTGTCCCTCGGGGCTCCTGCTGAAGGAAGATGGACTGACATGTGAAGATTGTAAGTTGGGGGTTACACTGTGTCAGACATGTGAAGATTGTAAGTCGGGGGTTACACTGTGTCAGACATGTGAAGATTGTAAGTCGGGGGTTACACTGTGTCAGACATGTGAAGATTGTAAGTCGGGGTTACACTGTGTCAGACATGTGAAGATTGTAAGTCGGGGTTACACTGTGTCAGACATGTGAAGATTGTAAGTCGGGGGTTACACTGTGTCAGACATGTGAAGATTGTAAGTCGGGGGTTACACTGTGTCAGACATGTGAAGATTGTAAGTCGGGGGTTACACTGTGTCAGACATGTGAAGATTGTAAGTCGGGGGTTACACTGTGTCAGACATGTGAAGATTGTAAGTCGGGGGATACACTGTGTCAGACATGTGAAGATAGTAAGTCAGGGGTTACACTGTGTCAGACATGTGAAGATTGTAAGTCGGGGGTTACACTGTGTCAGACATGTGAAGATTGTAAGTCGGGGGTTACACTGTGTCAGACATGTGAGACGGGGGTTACACTGTGTCAGACGTGAAGATTGTAAGTCGGGGGATACACTGTGTCAGACATGTGAAGATAGTAAGTCAGGGGTTACACTGTGTCAGACATGTGAAGATTGTAAGTCGGGGGTTACACTGTGTCAGACATGTGAAGATTGTAAGTCGGGGGTTACACTGTGTCAGACATGTGAAGATTGTAAGTCGGGGGTTACACTGTGTCAGACATGTGAAGATTGTAAGTCGGGGGTTACACTGAGATGAAGTACATGGCAGTGAGCGAACTTAGCGGAGCACGCACATTGTGCTGAAAACCTAGTTTATTTCCCCATAAGGATGCAGTATTATTTGAAGTCCAGGTTTATCTGTTTTATCCTATACTGGGTATATCCTTATACATACTTCTATGTTTTGTTTATGATCGTCTGTGTCACTTCAGTTCCCAAGACATATCTCCTGTTTGCAAGTCGCGGCAGCATCCGTCGCATCTCATTGGACAGCTACGACCACACAGACGTCTACCTCCCCATCCCCGACCTACACAACGTTGTCGCCATCGACTTTGACTTCAAGGAGAAGAAGGTGTTCTACTCAGGACGTCTACCTTGACGTCATCAGGTAAGGGAGACTCTGAGGGTATTGACAGTTACTGGGGGCTGACATAAACAGTGACAAACACAGTTATTTGAACAAAGTTGTATTGACCTCCACGACAGCATGTCCATATCTGCTGTCCCGATCCCCAGAATATGATAATGTAGCAGGGATGAGCAGGTTGATGTTATTAGACAAGCTTCTTGATGAAATCTAATGACTCGGACACCACTGATGAATTGATCTCCTGAGTTTCAAGTGTTTCTCGTGCTGGTAGTTTCTAGTTTTCTTGTGGCATCAGCCCAACACAATTAGGTAGAACATGAGTGGGAGGGCTGTACATCAGCCTAACACAATTAGGTAGAACATGAGTGGGAGGGCTGTACATCAGCCTAACACAATTAGGTAGAACATGAGTGGGAGGGCTGTACATCAGCCTAACACAATTAGGTAGAACATGAGTGGGAGGGCTGTACATCAGCCTAACACAATTAGGTAGAACATGAGTGGGAGGGCTGTACATCAGCCTAACACAATTAGGTAGAACATGAGTGGGAGGGCTGTACATCAGCCTAACACAATTAGGTAGAACATGAGTGGGAGGGCTGTACATCAGCCTAACACAATTAGGTAGAACATGAGTGGGAGGGCTGTACATCAGCCCTAACACAATTAGGTAGAACATGAGGGGAGGGCTGTACATCAGCCTAACACAATTAGGGTAGAACATGAGTGGGAGGGCTGTACATCAGCCTAACACAATTAGGTAGAACATGAGTGGGAGGGCTGTACATCAGCCTAACACAATTAGGTAGAACATGAGTGGGAGGGCTGTACATCAGCCTAACACAATTAGGTAGAACATGAGTGGGAGGGCTGTACATCAGCCTAACACAATTAGGTAGAACATGAGTGGGAGGGCTGTACATCAGCCTAACACAATTAGGTAGAACATGAGTGGGAGGGCTGTACATCATCCTAACACAATTAGGTAGAACATGAGTGGGAGGGCTGTACATCAGCCTAACACAATTAGGTAGAACATGAGTGGGAGGGCTGTACATCAGCCTAACACAATTAGGTAGAACATGAGTGGGAGGGCTGTACATCAGCCTAACACAATTAGGGTAGAACATGAGTGGGAGGGCTGTACATCAGCCTAACACAATTAGGGTAGAACATGAGTGGGAGGGCTGTACATCATCCTAACACAATTAGGTAGAACATGAGTGGGAGGGCTGTACATCAGCCTAACACAATTAGGTAGAACATGAGTGGGAGGGCTGTACATCAGCCTAACACAGAACATGAGTGGGAGGGCTGGGCCTAACACAAGTAGAACATGAGTGGGAGGGCTGTACATCAGCCTAACACAATTAGTGAGTGGGAGGGTAGAACATGAGTGGGAGGGCTGTACATCAGCCTAACACAATTAGGTTGAGTGGGAGGGCTGTAGAACATGAGTGGGAGGGCTGTACATCATCCTAACACAATTAGGTAGAACATGAGTGGGAGGGCTGTACATCATCCTAACACAATTAGGTAGAACATGAGTGGGAGGGCTGTACATCAGCCTAACACAATTAGGTAGAACATGAGTGGGAGGGCTGTACATCAGCCTAACACAATTAGGTAGAACATGAGTGGGAGGGCTGTACATCAGCCTAACACACATCAGCCTAACACAATTAGGTAGAACATGAGTGGGAGGGCTGTACATTAGTTAATACACAATAAGCAGGATTTTTTATTGTGACAGACAAGCAAACCTCAACGGCAGTGCAACCAAGAATGTGGTTGAGAAGCAGTTGTCAACAACTGACGGCCTGGCAGTAGATTGGATTGGCAGGAACATCTACTGGACTGACACCGGCCGTGACGTCATCGAGGTAGCCAAACTGGATGGCTCCTGCAGGAAAACTCTCATCTCAGCTCGGCTGGACGAACCCAGGGCCATTGCACTCTTCCCTAAGAAAGGGTAGGTAACTCTTGGTGATGCACTCTCTTCCCAAATTAGGTAACTGCTTGTCCTCACTCTCTCCTGAGAAACTCTACTTTTTTCCTATCCATTCGAAATCTTTCTTTCCTGAGACGATGTGTCATATATTCTTCAGATTGATGTTTTGGACTGACTGGGGAGCACAGCCAAAGATCGAGCGAGCGTATCTGGATGGCGCACAGAGGAAAGTCATTGTCCACAGCAACCTTGGTGAGGAGATGATCTGTTTATTGCATGACAAAGTTTCTACTTTGAAATGATTGTCTCTTTTCTTTGTTAGTGTGTGCTGTTTATGTCATTGCTCTTTAGGGCTGGTGGGGTAGCCTAGTGGTTAAAGTGTTCGCTCGGCACGCTGAAGGCCCGGGTTCGATTCCCCACAAGGGCACAATGTGTGAAGCCCATTTCTGGTGTCCCTCGGCTTGATATTGCTGGAATGGTGCCAAAAGCGGCATAAAACTTAACTCACTCACTCATTGCTCTTTACTGTTGTGCGTTATTTATGTCATATAAGATTTGACCTCCTGAGGGGATTCGGGGCAGAGGTATGTTTGTTCGTTTGAACGGCTAAAGATATGGTGTTCACTGCAGTCACAATTATTAACATGAAAAGAACAGCATGATGTCAGATAAGTATGGAGAGATGAACAGACAGGCAGACAGATACTGACAGATGGACAGACAAGTGCAGACTGACACAGATTGAGATAGATACAGTAACATACATATTGACAGGCAGGTGCCCTGTGACAGAAGGTAGACCGACATATGATGACACTATGGTTCTCACTCTACCTCCTGGTGTTGCAGGCTTCCCCAATGGTCTGTCGGTGGACTACGATGCCAAACGCTTGTACTGGGTGGATGCAAAGTTTGACAAGATTGAGACCGTCTGATTTCAATGGCAAGAACCGAGCAACTCTGTTGGAGAAGATACCTCATCCATTTGGCCTCACAGTGGTAGGCACCAGGAAGAAGCATCGAACACATCAAACATATTTAACATCAAACATATCAAGCTTCAAACATTTCAACCGTCAAACATATCGACCATCAAACATATCGACCATCAAACATATCGTCCATCAAACATATCGTCCATCAAACATATCGTCCAAACATTTCAACTGTCAAACATATCGTCCATCAAACATATCGACCATCAAACATATCGACCATCAAACATATCGACCATCAAACATATCGTCCAAACATTTCAACTGTCAAACAAATTGTCCATCAAACATGTCGACCATCAAACATATCAACCAACTTCCTCTGTACAATTATGTTTGTGTCTTGTTGATCTGTAGATCGTTGGTCTTGGTGTCATTCACTGGACTGGCCTCTCTGCCTGGATATAATGCTGTGTCTATACAAGTGCCTGCTCCACTGTTGTTGTTATGCTGTGAGTGATACCTGTTGACCTGCGCCTGTGTCATGTTTCAGTATCAAGACTACATCTACTGGTCTGACTGGCAGACAGAGAACATCGAGCGAGCCAGCAAACATGACGGCAAGGACCGCACAATCATACAGAGTCGCCTCGAGGGGCTGATGGACATCCACATGGTGGCACCAGAGAGACAGACAGGTACAGTGGGAGGAGTCAGAGTGGGTGTGGTCTCAGTGTGTGGGGTGGTGGTCACACATGGGGAGGAGTCAGAGTGGGTCTGGTCTCAGTGTGTGGGGTGGTGGTCACACATGGGGAGGAGTTGTAGTGGGTGTGGTCTTAGTGTGGGGTGGTGGTCACACATGGGGAGGAGTTGTAGTGGGTGTGGTCTCAGTGTGTGGGGTGGTGGTCACACATGGGGAGGAGTTGTAGTGGTTGTGGTCTCAGTGTGAGGGGTGGTGGTCACACATGGGGAGGAGTTGTCGTGGGTGTGGTCTCAGTGTGTGGGGGGTGGTGGTCACATATGGGGGTCTCAGGAGTTGTAGTGGCTGTGGTCTCAGTGTGGGGGTGGTGGTCACACATGGGGAGGAGTTGTAGTGGGTGTGGTCTCAGTGTGAGGGGTGGTCACACATGGGGAGGAGTTGTAGTGGGTGTGGTCTCAGTGTGAGGGGTGGTGGTCACACATGGGGAGGAGTTGTAGTGGCTGTGGTCTCAGTGTGGGGGTGGTGGTCACACATGGGGAGGAGTTGTACTGGGTGTGGTCTCAGTGTGTGGGATGGTTGTCACACATGGGGAGGAGTTGTAGTGGTTGTGGTCTCAGTGTGAGGGGTGGTGGTCACACATGGGGAGGAGTTGTCGTGGTGGGTTGGTGTGGTCTCAGTGTGTGGGGTGGTGGTCACATATGGGGAGGAGTTGTAGTGGTTGTGGTCTCAGTGTGAGGGGTGGTCACACATGGGGAGGAGTTGTAGTGGGTGTGGTCTAAGTGTGGGGGTGGTGGTCACACATTGGGAGGAGTTGTAGTGGGTGTGGTCTCAGTGTGTGGGGTGGTTGTCACACATGGGGAGGAGTTGTAGTGGGTGTGGTCTAAGTGTGGGGTGGTTGTCACACATGGGGAGGAGTTGTAGTGGGTGTGGTCTAAGTGTGGGGTGGTGGTCACACATGGGGAGGAGTTGTAGTGGGTGTGGTCTCAGTGTGTGGGGTGGTGGTGGTATTGGTTCAGTGGTAAGGGTATTGGTCACACAGGGAGGAGCTAACAGGGGGAGGAACAATATAGGACGTGTGGTGTAAGTGGGGAGGGTAGTGAACGTACAGTGCGGAGCTATATCGGTTTAATTTCAGTGGAAAAGGGCATATACAGGAGAGGGTCACTCTGTTCTGATTTGTCCATGTTAGACTATGTACAGATGTTTTCAGTCGGTTGTTTCCTCCCCAGGTTCCAATGGCTGCAGCCAGAATGGGGGCTGCACTCACCTGTGTCTGGCCCGACCTGATGGCTACGTGTGTGAGTGTCCAAACATCCCTGATGGCCATCCCTGTATGGCAGGTGAGAGTTTCCGTACCTGTTGTCATGCCAACTGAGATCTGGTTTCTCTGGTTGACTTTACAGCAGCAAGCTGTATGTATTTTGCAGAAATGTGCATGAATTCTTTTTGACTATATAAGTTTCTCCATACAGAAACACTGTGAGTTTTAAGGGTAGGGACTACGTGGTGGTCATCAGACAGCTCATATCTTGCAGTGGTTTGAACCCAGTCTACAGCAATATGTCATGTTACTTCCTAAACACGATCTCACGCTCCATAGTTAACAGGTAGTAATGGTGGAGTTACATGTTTCAGTTCCAAGAGCGGCCAACCTTCCTCACAACCCAGACATCCCAAGTATTGACATCAACTCCCACATGGAGCCAAACGAGTGAGTTGTCTCCCTTGAATCCCCATCATCTCGCCCTGCTACTGCTTAAGTCTGCTGAATACCTTGACTGATCGCAAAACTTGGCAAATTGTCTTAAGCCATCTATTGTTCACCTCTTGACCCGTCATTATGTTTTGAACAGATATTACTGTCACCACAGTGGGTTCATTGTCAGACACTTTGAAAAGATTCACATCAACGTCATGCTGACACCCTCAGCAGCCATGTGTACTGACTGCACAGTTAGATGTTTCTGTACATGTACTTGTATGTGTCTAGGCTGAAGCTAGTGTTATAGTGCTGGCTCACTGAGATACCCTGACACAGAATACCCCACCCAGACATCATGCTTCTTGTTACAGAGAATGTACGGATGAGGATTCCGAGACCGGACTCTGCAGCAAGGACACACTGGCAGTGTCCAGCCATGGTGAGTGTGTTGATAGGGGAGGGGTGTGTGTTGTCTGGGGCAACCTAGGGTCCTAGAATCTATTCCCTGTGAAGTCACCATGACCTAGAGTATATTCCCTGTGAGGTCATCATGACCTAGAGTCTATTCCCTGTGAGGTCATCATGACCTAGAGTCTATTCCCTGTGAGGTCACCATGACCTAGAATCTATTCCATGTGAGGTCACCATGACCTAGAGTATATTCCCTGTGAGGTCACCATGACATGAGTGTTTATCTATTTCCAGCTCAGAGGATCAGCACAGCATACATCGTCCTTGGCATCATCACGGTCATCGTCCTCATTGGCTTTATTGTGTTTTTTGTTCTGTGGAAAAGGTAGGTGTCAAATATACAATAGCCAACAGCAGTTAGTTACATTTATAGAGGATACAAAACGACCCTCCGCGTAATTTCATTTTTATTAAAAGACTTAATTATTTGTTTCGCTCGTTTGATACTAAATCGTTCACGAGTTTAATAGGAATGGTATTTCACCGAAGCGACATACTCTCCAACATAAATTGATAAAAACTGCCTACAGTGTTATGACGCTCAGCTTTCTGCGAGTCATGCAAGGTCTTTTACCACTGTGACAGAGGTATTAACATTGTGACGTCATAACTGTAAACCATTATGACGCCATATGTCTAGCGATATTATGGTAGTGTAATATTGCCGTAAAAATATTAGACTGCAGTATCTTCCACGGGCGAGTAATAAGATCAGATAACACACACAACACAGTAACTTATTGGACTGCTATTCCCAGGCTGCTGTGATGGCTGGAATATTGCTGATCTGGGCTTCACCTGCTTTATACTTATTTTTGATATATCACGTTTATCATCATGAACCTTTATGCATAGTTTTGCTACAGGTCATTCATCCAGATAAACTGTACATTTCAGACAAAAGCGTCGTCAGTACAATGTGGAAGAGTTTACGACATTGACCTACGCCAACCCAACGTATCAAAAAGCCAGTTCTGAGACCATCAATTCCGATCACAGCCGGTCTGTGAGACCCTGGCAGAGGTTCCGATATCATAAACGAGATGTAAGTGTGTTCCCGAGAGCCTCTACTTTACATGAACAGACAATAACATCCCACCTGCTGTGAGCATATAGTTAATAACATCCCACCTGCTGTGAGCATACAGTTGATAACATCCCACCTGCTGTGAGCATATAGTTAATAACATCCCACCTGCTGTGAGCATACAGTTAATAACATCCCACCTGCTGTGAGCATACAGTTGATAACATTTCACCTGCTGTGAGCATACAGTTAATAACATCCCACCTGCTGTGAGCATACAGTTAATAACATCCCACCTGCTGTGAGCATACAGTTAATAACATCCCACCTGCTGTGAGTATACATTGAAATAACATCCCACCTGCTGTGAGCATACAGTTAATAACATCCCACCTGCTCTGAGCATACAGTTAATAACATCTCACCTGCTGTGGGTATACAGTTAATAACATCCCACCTGCTGTTAATAAATATCCCACCTGCTGTGAGTATACATTGAAATAACATCCCACCTGCTGTGAGCATACAGTTAATAACATCTCACCTGCTGTGGGTATACAGTTAATAACATCCCACCTGCTGTGAGTATACATTGAAATAACATCCCACCTGCTGTGAGTATACAGTTAATAACATCCCACCTGCTGTGAGCATACAGTTAATAACATCCCACCTGCTGTGAGTATTCAGTTAATAACATCCCACCTGCTGTGAGCATACAGTTAATAACATCCCACCTGCTGTGAGTATACATTGAAATAACATCCCACCTGCTGTGAGCATACAGTTAATAACAATCCACCTGCTGTGAGCATACAGTTAATAACATCCCACCTGCTGTGAGCATAGTTAATAACATCCCACCTGCTGTGAGCATACAGTTAATAACATCGCACCTGCTGTGAGTATACATTGAAATAACATCCCACCTGCTGTGAGCATACAGTTAATAACATCCCACCTGCTGTGAGCATACAGTTGATAACATCCCACCTGCTGTGAGCATACAGTTGATAACATCCCACCTGCTGTGAGCATACAGTTAATAACATCCCACCTGCTGTGAGCATACAGTTAATAACATCTCACCTGCTGTGGGTATACAGTTAATAACATCCCACCTGCTGTGAGTATACATTGAAATAACATCCCACCTGCTGTGAGCATACAGTTAATAACATCCCACCTGCTGTGAGTATACATTGAAATAACATCCCACCTGCTGTGAGCATACAGTTAATAACATCCCACCTGCTGTGAGTATTCAGTTAATAACATCCCACCTGCTGTGAGCATACAGGTTAATAACATCCCACCTGCTGTGAGCATACGGTTAATAACATCCCACCTGCTGTGGGTATACAGTTAATAACATCCCACCTGCTGTGGGTATACAGTTAATAACATCCCAACTGCTGTGAGCATACAGTTAATAACATCCCACCTGCTGTGAGCATACAGTTAATAACATCCCACCTGCTGTGAGTATACAGTTAATAACATCCCACCTGCTGTGAGCATTCAGTTCATAGCATCCCACCTGCTGTGAGCATACAGTTCATAACATCCCACCTGCTGTACACATACAGTTAATAACATCCCACCTGCTGTGCGCATACAGTTAATAACATCCCACCTGCTGTGCGCATACAGTTAATAACATCGCACCTACAGTGAGCATACAGTTAATAACAATCCACCTGCTGTGAGCATACAGTTAATAACATCCCACCTGCTGTGAGCATAGTTAATAACATCCCACCTTCTGTGAGCATACAGTTAATAACATCGCACCTACAGTGAGCATACAGTTAATAACAATCCACCTGCTGTGAGCATACAGTTAATAACATCCCACCTGCTGTGAGCATAGTTAATAACATCCCACCTGCTGTGAGCATACAGTTAATAACATCGCACCTACAGTGAGCATACAGTTAATAACAATCCACCTGCTGTGAGCATACAGTTGATAACATCCCACCTGCTGTGAGCATTCATGTTTGAAAGTGAGGAGATGTTTCTGTGATGTTCCAGTGATGTTGTTGACAGGATGTTTAAGTGGTGTTGTGATGTTGACAGGAGCGGCTCAGCATGGTTCCGGTGGACAGCGACAAGCTGAACAACATGGAGCGTGCCGCCCTCGTACAACAGATGGAGACCAGCAACTCTCCGCAGGGCGACGCTTCAGAAGATTCCTCCATCACTAAAAATATCTTTAAAAATAATACAAAATATACAACTGAAACATCCAAACTGAATATCCCGTATAAACCTGTGGACACGTGAGTGAGTGCTCCCAGCCTGTGATACAATGGTGCAAGCTAATTGTGGGAGTACCCATCCAAAGAGAAACTTATGAGAAGTCCCACCAAACCAAGTGCTGATCTGACTCGAGTGGATGTGATTCTGTGTTCAATTGATAATATATTCCATACAACTGATTATGTCTGTACCACAGACTTGAAACTATTTCCCATACAACTGGTGTCACTATGGATGTATTTCTTTGTGGATCTGATTGTGTGATTATCTGTGGATACACCTGAACCTCCCAATGACCAGAGGATATATTCCATACAACTGATTATGAGAATACCTCAAAATGACAGTGTTATCCACAAAACTTATGTGACAGTGGTTACTGACAGATTTCAAGTGAATATTGTGTTGAATGCTTGTGAGAATGTGCTCTGTGAGTAACTCAAGACGTATATGATTAAGTCAAGTTTTGTGATAGTCTTCTCCTGCTGGGAACATCTGTCTGCTAAGTGTTGTATTCATGTTCCCTGTGGCTGTTCCCTGACTCAAGTGTGACAACGTGCTTCCAAACAGGCCACAGACAGGAACTGCTTCAACATGACACACAGACAATCCAGAGACTGAGCTGTAGTCATCTGTATCTCACCTGTAACAACTGACAAGCCCCAGTAATGGTTTCTCAATCAGTCTTATATAGGGTGCAAATCTGCAAATCTAATCCTTCAAATTGAATAACTGCTATTACAAATTTACATATTTTTATCTGGATGGAATTTGGACAAATATTGGTAAATGTATCAACCAGTATCTATTTTGGATCTGTCGTTTCTGAAAGGTGTATTTTTGGGCCTGCAGACTGGGCCGACTTGTATTACTTCATGGTTGTGTTGGAACATATCATTGTAGTGTCATACCTCACTGTAGCTGTCGTAGCCCGACTGGAATCACTGCCCAATACTCAAGTATTGATTTATCTCAAGATGTTCTGCAGTCTCCAGGATGTCACTAGGCTGAAACCTGGCATCCTTGTGTATCACTGACTGATAATATGGCAGAGTTCATGGCGGTGAACAAAGTGTATCTCCCAGCCCACGCTGTGAATCTACTACTTACATACAACTCACAGTGTATACTTATTTTATCATGCTAATGATCGTGTATAACTCTTGTGCCAAATGTAGTCGTCATGCATCTTCTAGCCTTATGTACCAGGAAATGGCATGGGATAAGTAAGGTTTTGTTTCAGGGATAATGATTATCTATGCTACGAGGATGGTTTTTGTCATGACTATTGACTGGACAGTTGTGACTTGCTATGGGTTTTTTATCACTATAGATTTTAAGCTCAACTCAGTATGTTAAAACATTACAGATTCTGTACCAACATGAATAATTTTAACAAGATGATTGTCAGGTATTTTAGCCGAGATATATCTGTATATACTCACCAGGAAACAATGGGAACATAAAGGACAACAGCAGTAATAGTGTACACCTGCAGAGAGAGATAATGACTTGTTTGAATTGATAGTTTGAATACTGGTTAATTTACAAATCAACCTCAGGTCATCTCTGTACTGTATGGTCAAGATTTCTGGCCTGAGGTCAACATCAATGCATTATATTCACAGGCAACTGTCAGGAAATATCATTGTGGATTTTTGTCTCCAAGTACTTTTAGATGTTATTTTATACATATATTATGACAAGCACCTATGTTTTATGCAACACATGACTCTATGACATGACCACTAGTTTGTACGAAGACTTGAAGCTGTTCTCAGTACAAAATGTGTCTGCTGTCTAGTGGCCTGATGAAGGGTTATCTCCCTTATACTGTACAGATAACTAGTGTAGAGATAGCAGAGTTATTTTGCTGTACGAAATGATGATCTAATTTTCTAATTCATCAATCTTGGATGCTGCTGCTTGAACGTATGACAACGGAAACAAGACTGACATTGATCTCTGCTCAAAGCTGAATGTTGGTTTGCTGATCACACGTGACTGCCTTGACTTGCCGATCATAATGTCTCTGATTTTAACCAATCATAACCCACACCTCAGTCATGTGATCATAAGCTGCAGTGTGATTGGCTGCTGTAGTAATCACATGATCTAATGATATTCTTGGATCTCTGAGCCATGCTGGTAGTTTGTGCTGATCTTGAGTTGTACATTGTGTATATCGGCTGTCTGGAACTTGTACATTGTGTATATCGGCTGTCTGGAACTTGTATAGTGTGTATATCGGCCTCCAGGATCGTGTAAATGTATCTATTGGCTGTACTCATGTACATGTATTACACATAGTTCCTCTGTAAGCTGGGCGGTGGGGTAGCCTAGTGGTTAAAGCGTTGGCTCGTCACGCCGAAGACCCGAGTTCGATTCCCCACATGGGCACAATTTGTTAAGCCCATTTCTGGTGTCCCCCGCCGTGATATTGCAGGAATATTGCTAAAAGCGGCATAAAACTAAACTCAGTCAGTCCTCTGTAAGGTATCAGTGTTACAATGATAGGGGTAGTATTGACGGAGTAAATAAAGATGCAGTTTACGGCGGTATGGGAAAGAAACAACAGGGAATAGCAGTAGTAATTGTGTATAGGGGTAATTAACGACAGGGTCAGGGGGTAAGTGATGATAAAGGCTGGGTTGAGTAATGACAGGGTCAGGGGGTAAGTGATGATAAAGGCTGGGGTGAGTAATGACAGGGTCAGGAGGTAAGTGATGATAAAGGCTGGGGGTGAGTAATGACAGGGTCAGGGGTAAGTGATGATAAAGGCTGGGGGTGAGTAATGACAGGGTCAGGGGTAAGTGATGATAAAGGTTGGGGTGAGTAATGACAGGGTCAGGAGGTAAGTGATGATAAAGGCTGGGGTGAGTAATGACAGGGTCAGGGGGTAAGTGATGATAAAGGCTGGGGTGAGTAATGACAGGGTCAGGAGGTAAGTGATGATAAATGATGGGGTGAGTAATGACAGGGTCAGGAGGTAAGTGATGATAAAGGCTGGGGTGAGTAATGACAGGGTCAGGGGGTAAGTGATGATAAAAGGCTGGGGTGAGTAATGACAGGGTCAGGGGGTAAGTGATGATAAAGGCTGGGGGTGAGTAATGACAGGGTCAGGGGTAAGTGATGATAAAGGCTGGGGTGAGTAATGACAGGGTCAGGGGTAAAGTGATGATAAAGGCTGGGGGTGAGTAATGGTACAGGGTTAGGGCAAGTGATGATAAAGGCTTGGGGTGAGTAATGACAAGGTCAGGGGGTAAGTGATGATAAAGGCTGGGGGTGAGTAATGACAGGGTCAGGGGGTAAGTGATGATAAAAGCTGGGGTGAGTAATGAAGTAAGGGGGGGGTAAGTGATGATAAAGGATAAGTAATGACAGGGTCAGGGGTATGAGCTGGGGTGAGTGATGATAGAAGGGGGGGTGAGTAATGACAGGGTCAGGAGTAAAGTGATGATAAAGGCTGGGGGTGAGTAATGACAGGGTCAGGGGGTAAGTGATGATAAAGGCTGGGGTGAGTAATGACAGGGTCAGGGGGTAAGTGATGATAAAGGCTGGGGTGAGTAATGACAGGGTCAGGGGGTAAGTGAGGTGAGGTGAAAGTGGGTTTAACGTCGTGCTTGAGAATATTTCGCTCATATGACGACGTGCATGCGCGTGTATGTGTATTTGCGGCTGCTTGTACTAGCCCAGACTTAAGCTGGTGTTATAGTGCTAGCCCACTGAGATACCATGCCGCAGTGAAGCATGAATACCCCACTCAGACACATTATACTGACTTCGAGCTGACCAGTCCTTGTTGTACCCATTAATGCCGAGCGCCAGGCAGGGACCAACAAGTACCATATTTTAACGTATTTTGGTATGACACGGTCGGGGATCGAACCCGCAACCTTCCGCTCTCCGGGCTGACGCTCTAACCACTACACCACTCAAAATAGCAAAATAAACCCTCAAAGGGATCAGATTGTAAACTGAAGTTATGATCCTGACCTTTTTATGGAGGAACTATGTGTAACATATACAATTGTACTTGTACTTAGAGGATGTATAAACATTGTACATGTGAGCTCTGTGTATATGGTCTCTGATATCTCTATTCTATGCAGATCTATGTATTAACTTATTGACTGTGACAACTGGAGGGGATCCATAGACCTACTGCACCTGAGATGTAACATGCTGCATCTGGGATGTAACATGCTGCACCTGGGTTGTAACATGCTGCACCTGAGATGTACCATGCTGCACCTGGGATGTAACATGCTGCACCTGGGATGTAACATGCTGCACTTGAGATGTACCATGCTGCACCTGGGATGTAACATGCTGCACCTGAGATGTACCATGCTGCACCTGGGATGTACCATGCTGCACCTGGGATGTAACATGCAGCACCTGGGTTGTAACATGGTCATGGGTGTATTGAGGTCATGTCAGTGATTCCCGGAACACCACCACATGAAAACACAAGAAAGAAACTGCAGGTTAGAACAGGTTTTCTGTTGTTACTGTGTCATATTCATTGTAGATGTGATCTTCCTAATTTACCGAATAAAGGGAAAAATATGTCTTTCTTTTTAAGGGAAAACTTTCCATCCCCATGTTGAGGATGTCGCACTTTACTTCTTCAGATTGCAGTCAGAAGGTTGTGTGATGGACAGGGATGATAGTGTTGTGGGTATACAGCTGATGTACTACAGTGATTCCAACCCATAGATCACATTACTGGCTTGATAATGGTGGTAGTATGTACACTGAAATACTCATTTTACGAAAGAAGTTGTGTATTCATAGAATTATCTCCCTTGTTCATTGTTTTACATATTTTCATGACTGAAATCATCTGACAGACAGATTACCAGGGGAAGACTGAAAGATTAAATTATCTTTTTCTATGTTTTAAATATTGTATTCAGGACTATATATCCATGAGTTCCACCATACCACCTCATCATATACAAGTAGTGGTACGTCGCATAGTATACCTCGCAGTACTGACGTCAGTTTGGGACAGTTTTGTTCAGCCATGATGTGTCACTGACCCTCGAAACAATTCCTGGCAGTGTTTTACAGACACCCCGACCTTACAGAGTGGGTCGGTTCATGTTCATGGTAAAGTTTTAATAAGAACAAGAAGAGAAGCTGTAGGTTGATATCCTGTCTTCTTGGGTTAGTAATTTTCCACTAAAGTTCGGATTGTACACCCTAATCAGTGTCTGCCTCGTGCAGTCTGGTGATGTTTGAAGATGTCTGTGTTTTAACAACAAACAAATAACCCTGCAATGTTTGTACAGTGTTTGACAATGTTTTTTCCGGTATTCGACTTACAGATTTACTCAATATTTTCTACACTTTCCTGTCAATATTTCTTGGTTTATTTGATAAATTAGGTTTTAACATGAAACCAGTTTTAACTTTGTAATAGTTTTATGCAATCTTGTAAGATCTTATGAAGTGGTTATTGATAATATAGTAGTTACTGAGGACTTTCATGACAAATTATGCCAAAGAATTAGATGTTATTTTCAAGGTGGACAGGTTTTATGAATGTATTGTTTGTATATTTCATATTGTCAAAACTAATATTTACCGTTACACTGTTAGTGAGAGATTGCCAAACAAAGAAATGGCGAAGGCACGTCATGGGTTCTCGTTTCAGGTTTAATGTACTTGTATTTGTTGGTATAACATTTACAATTCTTCTTGGAGTGGTTAGGCTCTACGTATCGTCTTCAAGACTGTTGATATGATTTAACATGTGTTATATTTGGGATTACACTTCCTTTGTAAAGTACAAATTCTAGTACTTCTTGAGTTGAGCCCCATCCGGGATTCGAACTCACACCCTCAGAGTCAGGCACCCAATCGCCAGCACACAAAGTCAGCCGCCTAACCCGCTCAGTAGGCGGCTGACTTTGTGTGCTGGCGATTAGGTGCGTGACTCTGAGGGTGTGAGTTCGAATCCCGGATGGGGCTCAACTCAAGAAGTACTAGAATTTGTACTTTACAAAGGAAGTGTAATCCCAAATATAACACATGTTACATTTGACCACTTTCTAAATGGCATTGTGTAATCATGTTGATATGATTCTTCTTGAATTATTTATAATAACAATTCTGAATTTTTCTGTTCGAGTTTTAGAACTTTTACATCCAATGTTCCTTTAACATGTTGCCATATTATCATGCCTCCTCATTGTACATAGATTCATAATAAAATATTATGAAGGTTAATTTTGGCACTGATTTGTGTATTCTTACTTGACTAGCATCAGTGTTGAGCGTTCTCCACTGCGGATGTTGGTTTATGCACTGCCGAAGTGTTTATGGCGGGGTGGATGAGGAGAGTTACCTCCCCTCTCCTTCAGTTACTGTTCTGTTGCAGACGACGAGCCACAAATACTGGAAGCGGTCGCCTGAGTTAATTCTCGTAACTGTGCTGAATCCCTGGATTAATCTGATTGTGACTATCCTTGGTTTGCCAGTACATGACTGGGATTGGACGGATTTACAAACATGGAAACTGATCGCGATATGCGTGTTTTGGGCTGTCCTCCCAAATCCAGCACGACGTTTTCCACACAGCGCATGTCACTGTGTTATACACTTTGTCCACTCTCCTACCCAGAGTTCCATGCGGCAAGCCAGCATTGTACCTCTGCCACAGGCCAGAAAAATGTCACGATTCGTCACATCTTGCACCGTCCATTCAATATAATGTACAGATTTCTTTTACTCTTTTATTTTTGACAAGTCTACACATCTAACTAAACATCTTTAATAGAATGGTTTAGTTTCACTGAGAAAATATCCAAAAACATGTAACACTATTTCGATTTGCGTAGCGATCCTTTGTTTACATAGGTTGTACGGCTCCACGTGCTGTCATCGAAGCCGACGGAGAGCAAACGATGCAGCCAGTTTGATATCTAAATATGTACTGTCATAGACGTAACTGTCGCAGTTGTGGAAGAATATATATGTAACAATGTAAAACATTGTGAAGAGAGCGCCGAAAAGCTCTCGTGAGTCCAGTCTCTTCTTATAATGAATATGCGCGTTTGATTACAAACAAGAGAAAAGTCCGGTCACGTGATATGCAAATTAGCCTGTGGCAGTGATGTTATGTTAAGTCATCGCTGTGCCGGAGTGTGCACTTTGTCATCACTTTAACATCAAAACCTTAATGTATCCGCTACTTTGATTGTGACAGACTAAAAATATACAATAGGCTTAATTTTAGCGTTATTTGTGCTAAATATCTAATCATACTATGTAATATTGTTACAATGTGACGGAGTGAGA